ATGAATATTGGCCTGATAAATCGTTTCTTTAGTTAGGCCATGTCATTAAAGAAGTCGAAGACAGTAAATTGTAATGTAAAAATGTCTTATTTGGACAACAATTATTTCATATTTGGAGACTTTGAGTTGATGGTTTAGAGGTAAGATGCGAGATTTTATGATAATTTATTTTCATAATTTAATTAAAATCACACTTATTTCTTACATTTTTTAAAGATAGTCTCTTTGTGTTAACAAAGTAAAAATAGTCTTTTTTGGGCAATGGTAATGAGTATTAATTTTTTTTTTGTTGAAAAAATATATTTTCTTACCAGATTTCAAGGAAAAAAAGGGGGAGAAAAAGTCTCTTAAGGGGTTTCATACTAATTAACTAAACTACATGGATGTGCGCAAGAGTTTATTAAACCTCATACCCGATTAGTAAATTTTTATATAGGCCAAAAAGAAGATGATAAAATGATGAATTCTAATTTCTTTTTTAAAAAAAATTTGAAAATAAAAATGCCAACTGCCAAGAAGATTCGGACAGATTTGAATACTACGAAAAAACAGTTGAAGTCTTCAAACTAAAGATTTGTCATTCCGTGTGTTTGACTTAAAGGTCGAATGGGGCCCACCTCTTTTTATAGACACATCAGATTGGAGGTTAAAATGATTCAGGTTTTTCTGAATTTAACGGAGCAATCCTCGTACTTAATTGAAATTTAAAACCCCTTCCATTCTTCAAAAACCTTTTTCAACATTCGCAGATCCGATGATGAAGGCAAAATGAAGTTTAAGATAGCATTTGCTGATTCTACCCAAAAAGTTTCCTTTTTTATTATTTATTTTTTTTAAAAAAAAACAGAACCAACTTCCACAGTAAAACAAAAGTAATGAATCGAAACTAAACTATGGTTGAGATATTTTTTCAAACTTTTTTTTTTTGAATGGTTGAAATGTGAACTCCAATTAATTTTGTACTAACAAGAAATGAAAATGAAAACACAGGTACTTGGAATAAACTACCCCAATCACGTCATTTTTAAATCAATGGTTAATTTTCACCACCCGAGGGAGTATTTTTACGGTATATGTGTGACTCATTTAACCTCAGGATCTTGCGTCCCCTATTATCCTACATGGATATCCTTCGTCAAGCTTCGTGATAGCCATTTCGGATGACATTAAGTTATGCCCATTGAGATATTACGAAATTAAGTAAAACTTTCGCAGTTATATATATCTTATAAGGTAACATTAATATCTAAATACTACTATATTATTGTCCCTCCCTCCTTCCCATAATTATTGTCCCATAAATTATCTTATAAGGTAACATTAATATCTAAACTTTCGCAGTTTTCTAATACTCCCTCCGTCCCATAATTATTGTCCAGTTTTACTAAAATGAAAAATTTTATTTTTAGTCAAATTTAACTATATTTCACCTTGAACAACCATATATAACCCTGCATAAGTAATTGTTTAACCACAAAGATTTTATGGATAATGTTTTTTATTAAAGACAAATGTGTAACTTGATCCATAAAAAGTCAAATTAGACAATAATTTTGGGACAAAATTTTTTAGGTATTTTTTAAAGTGGACAATAATTATGGGACGGAGGGAGTTACAAAAGAAAATAACTTATGAATAATCTTATAGTGCATATTTGTTATTACCTCTGTATATAAAAAATAAAATAAAATAGTCCACGTTGAGTTTTGTACTGTTTTTAGTACGAATTTAAAAATTCAACGTGAACTATTTTTCTAGGACAGATCTAGTGTGAGTCTATATATCAGAAGGAAAGCAACTAGCTTCATTTTGATTCGCATATAAATGTTTAACATTAATTTGCATCAAACTTAATTACAAGAAGGAAATTATTTACCTCCATTGTTGACCAGCAGCATCAGAGCCAGAAGTATAGCAACTAACTTGGTGTAGTTATACATTGCTCTCCCAACCCAAAAGACACTTATGAATATCTTTCTGAGATCGATCGTGAGGGATGAATCTCTCAACAATGTTTTTTTTTTCCAGAATAAATAGCGACCGGAATATGGTTCAGTCTTCCGAGTATGCAATGCATCCGGCAGAAAGCATCTGGTTTTAGGCCAGCAAACAAACGGCTTTCTAATTAACTAGTGAAAAAACACCAGCAAGCATCCAGCGTATCATGAATTCATGCATGATTTTCGCCGTTTGATACCTTCCACTTGTTATTACGTACTAAGCCGTACAAAAGCTCTTTACGGCAGCAATTTTGATCAGTTGAATGAATACTCTTGAAGCCTTCAAGTTTGGAGTTGGAGGTCATATGTTTGACTGGTTCTTTTTTTTTTTTTCCCCTTTTCTTTTTATGGTTTAATTAATCTCCAATGTTGTGAATTTATTAATCCCTCCGTCCCATAATTATTGTCCAGTTTGATTTTTCATTTCTAATTCAAATTGTACTAAAAGTGAGATCTCAAATTGGACAATAATTTTGAGACGAAAGGAATATGTTTTTTTTAAGTTGTTCAGTTAGTGCTTTAATCTCATTATCGTAAATAAGTTTCAAATTTATCAGTTTTTTTAACCCATTTTGTTTTTATCAGTTTAGTGAACCAACTTTCTGTTTCATTTCTAATTAAGGACAATATGGCTACATTTGTCCAAATAAAATCTCCGGCTTGTAAAAGTTATTCCTTCCTTTTCGAAATAATAGTTTAATTTGAATTTTTATTTTGAGTTTAAATTGTATTAAAAGTAAAACTTAAACAAGACAATCACTTTGGGTATGCTTATTCCAATAAACAGCAACTTGGCTATTCCTATTTCAGACTAGGATATGTAGAAAGTAGAAACTTCTTCTTTGTTGGATTTTGTTTTTTTAATATATATATATACAGGGAAAGTAGAAACTTCTTCTTTGTTGGAATTTTTTTTAAAAATAAAAATAAAAAGCACCTAGAAAAGGAGGGTTAATCAACCAGAACATTCCATAAACGAGAGTATGACGACTTGAAACATGTCACTCTTACTTAACTAGCTCATAATTAACCTAAAGAAACGAATCTTATCAAAACCGTGTTGTCATAGTACATTATTAAGGCGGTAGAATACAACGTTCGGTCCTAAAATATAGTACTTAGTTTTACATCATGGACACAAAGGTTTTTTTTTTTTTTTTACATCGACTTAATGATAGTCTTGTACCTAAAAAAGGCTCTACTTAGATTAATTAACGTGGGATCACGTAGATGAAATGCATGTGTTATTACTCATATTAAATCTTCGACAATGGAGAAAAAAGGAGAAATTATTGATTCAATGTCGGCTAATGAAAAACAAAGTCTTGACTCCAACAGCAGCCACGACCTCGTTTGTTCGTGCGCATGCAGCAGAAAAGATAAGCGGATAGTGGGATTGGGTTTCTCTTTTTGCAATCAATCAATCAATAAAGGTGGACGAATAGGAATAAGCTAGTTCAACTTTTGAGATAATACGTGAGTACGTAGAATTCATTCAATAAGAATTTCAATCTTTTTTGTTTTATATTTATATATTCTTTGTTCCAGAGATTAATGATCATCGTCGCTCTATGGTGTAAAAGCCTCCCAAAATGGAAGACGGAATCGCCTTCAAACGTCCATCTGTACATGAACGTTTCAGTAAAAACTGTGAAGGGATTTGAGCATCTTAAAAAAGATAGATAGATTGTGGCATGTGTGATGTCAAAACTTCTTCAAATTCGGATAATGTTTGGTCTGTAATTTAATTTAACTGAACTCCTCCTAAAAATTATATACTATTCTTAGGAGCATAAACTTGTCCAAAATATTCACGAAACATCGCCCCTACATTATTATTATTATTATTATTATTATTATTATTATCTTGAAGAATTATATGCATTAATGTTGGTTACGGGAAAATTCTCTATCAATTCTAAAATGATTGTTTTGTTTGCCATACTAGTTTAGTAAAACAAAAAAAAAAAAAGAAAAGAAAACAAGTATTTTGGGTGTAGGGAATATTATAGTTAAATATAATTAAGTAAGTCTATCATCATTTGAAACTTGAGGAATACAATTAGAAATGTTTTAAGGGTTGGAAACTAAAATGAAACAGAAGACAAAAGTTGAGTTATACGTTGACATAAAGAATGTACTCCCTCCGTCCCATAATTATTGTCCAGTTTAGATTTCCATTTCTAATTCAAATTGTACTAAAAGTGAAATCTCAAACTGGACAATAATTATGGGACAGAGGGAGTATATAAGTTTGGTAATTTATTAGCCTTAAATTGTAATGTAACTAATTAACTTTCCTATGACACATGCATCATGATAGTTGTCCAGTCATCATTATTTTTTTTTTCCCCCGGAACAGGAAAGTATGGGGTATTGTGTATTTTAGATTCGAAGTTGGGGGAAAACTGTTATGTCTGTGATTTGTTTAGACAGAAATGAAATGATGAACTTACTGTCACTAATCAGTACACAATAGAGATACATATGTACTTCAACGGCTTAGTTTGATCCTTCTTTTAACAAACATCATTACAAGTAAAACCAAAGCTTAATTACTCTAACCCCCGAATTATAACCTACACATTTGTTGCTGTGGACAGTGGAAAAGCAAAAACACAGTGAATAGTCATTAATTTTCTGTTTGGAGACTTTATACTACTCCCTCCATTTCAAAATAAGTGTCATTCTAGAGTTTGCACACAGTTTAAGAAACACTTAAATAGGATAGCTAATTACTAGAATATCCCCAACTAACCCCATTAAAATAAATGTTCACCAATAATATTATTTCTTTTGAGAGTATGTTTGGAAATTTTTGACAAAAAATGCATTGAAATCCGAAAACGATACTTATTTTGAAATTTCTCCATTTTGCTAAAACAAACATTTATTTTGGAATGGAGGGAGTACTACACTAAAATTATTGTCCGAAGTCCCGACTAATCCTGATGAAAGATACACTTCTCTTATTCTCATTCCGCTCCGCAAAGAATAATGGGGAAGTTGGTGCATGGCTTTGTCATATTGGTACAAAGTATGAGAGAAAGGGAAACGTGGCATAAATTTTGTGATGATTTTTCCATTGAGAATCAGCTAAAGCTATGAATGCCAAACCCCAAGATCTTTAAAGCGTGAATACCCACCACAGGTTACACCAATCAGTTCATCACTGTGCTGAGTGTCCGATCGACATTTATAACGAAACTCATCATCATCATATTCTTCCCGATTATTTCATTCCTGATCTTTTTACCTAATTTTTATAATATTGATCATGGCCGCTAGCTTAAGCGTCATCCTTGGTATTATTGGTAAGTGTTGTAACACAAAATTCTACTTAATTTAACTGCGATTTAGTTTGCATTTAATCATTAATTTATCAACTTAATCTGCAGGTAATGTTATCTCAATACTTATGTTCCTTGCTCCGGTGTAAGTTTATTTACACTTTTCTCTTTTTCAGATGCTTGCACTTTATACAATTAAGTGAGATGAGATTTTATTTGAATGTTAATATACTCATTGGGTACGTGAAAATTTTAATTTAACTTTCAGAAAAACGTTCAAGAGGATTATAAAGAAGAAATCAACCGAGGATTACAAAGGAATACCGTACATAACGACATTGCTTAGCACAAGTTTGTGGTCATTTTATGGGTTGCTGAAGCCAGGAGGTTTGCTTGTGGTTACAGTCAATGGCACCGGTTGCATCTTGCACATTGTCTATGTTGTTCTCTTCATCGTCTATGCTCCCAAGGATGTTAAGGTCCAGAATTCTTTTTTTTATCTTCGAAATAGTTTACATTAAATTCTGTGATTTGTATTACTTTTAAGCACACATTATTTGAAAACTCAGTGCGACTTATTTTTTTGGACATAGGTAGTACTATATATCAATAAATAATGAATGTGTATTACTTTATTAATTGACTCTCTTGTCAATATTAAGCAGAATAATTCACTGTTGAATAATTGAATGTGTGATTGGGTTAAGATGTTGAAGTAGTATTGATGATGTACAGGTTCAATCAATGAAGCTGGTGGGATTAGTGGATATTGGTTTCTTAGGGGTGGTGGTTGCTGTAACTCTTCTTGCACTCCACGGTGGCACGCGGCTGACTTTGGTCGGACTTCTATGTGCAGCTTTGACCGTCGGGATGTATGCATCCCCTCTTTCAGCCATGGTAAGTTCAGTTTATTTACTGTCTAGCCCAGAAATTATTCAGTGCACCCGCTACATGTGACAAAAAAGGGGAAGCAAGTATCGATTTCCCAAAACAATTATCACAACTGCTCTCATAAATATATCTCAGCAGCATTTGTGGTGATGCAATGGATATATCGTATACCACTTAATTTCTCTCACTGGACTACCTTTACATTCATGTTTGTAATTCTTATACGTTTAAATTTATCAAATTTGAGATATACTCTATCACTCTCCTTGTTTTTTTTTTTTAAAAAAAAAATTAAATAAATGTTGTTGTACCAAATCAGTATGAAACAAACGTAGCTCTTTTCTATAGATTGGAGGAATTATTACATATTAAAATCTTTTTTCCTTCAAGAAGCATTGTTGATCATGTTAAATCACGTCTCTGATCTTCTATCACTTTTGCAACAATTTTGAGGATAGAGAACCGTGATAAAGACGAAAAGCGTGGAATACATGCCATTTTTCTTGTCTTTCTTTCAATTCCTCAACGGAGGAATCTGGGCTGCCTATGCCGTGATTGTCAAGGATATCTACTTGGGTGTAAGTTTCTCCATCCATCCATAATACTTTTCCATTCTTCAAATATATCAATTGACATAAACAATAAGTATTTTTACTATTAATAACAAAGAGAGAGAGAAAGAAATTACTTAATACCATCAAGGGAACGGTTCAATCAATAATGTTAATGTTGAAATCATCATTGATAATCTAACAGTAAGAGGCATGCGATATGGAATCAGAATGCATTCGTACATTTGTTGATTCGGGCTTCTAACTTCAGGTGCCCAACGGAATTGGGTTTGCATTGGGCTCAGCACAAATCCTGCTTTACGTGATTTACAAAAACAAATCCCCGTTCAAGTCCAAGGAGTCGATGGAAGAAGAAGGCTCAGCCCACCTCGTGAAGGACAGAATTCATGATGAAAAGGAACTGAAAAATCGGGGGCTCAGCAAAGGAAGAAGTCTGCCAAAACCCGGCGTTGATCGGCAATACAGCCAGGAAATCGTCAGAACAAGTTCTTTAACCCCGGGTGGTAACAACCGTGTCGGGGATCTTGAACTCGGCGTCAAAGAAAATGCTGTGTAACTTATTGATTATTTCCGGAGAATATTAATCATCATAAACACATGTAGAGTTTGAGCTTGATAAAAGATTTTACGTCGAATAGGGTTCCTTAATTTTACGTGGAGAAGTAATATTTCATTATGACAACAAATTCTGGGACATTTTGCGACTTACTATATCAATATGTATCATTGTGTTGTTTGGTTGGTGACTTGGTGTAATTACATTTGCTTCCTTTTAACTTTTTAAATGTTCACGAATTTATCGAGCATGTTTAGGAATGAATTTTGTTTGGTGACATCATCAATTCTTTATAGTTTATACAACTAGTCCTAATCTCATTTTATCTCTTAGAGATACAATTGTCGCTGATCAAGAAGATTGGTGACTCTCTTTGTCTGTTTTGTTTGTTGTACTGTATGGTATATACTCCCCGTCCCGAAATTATTATCCAGTTTGGATTTTCAGTTTTAGTACAAATTGAATTAAAGTTGAAAATCCAAACTGAACAATAATTTTGGGATAGAGGGGTATATATAATAATAACTATGTACAATTTATTTTTTGGATAAAAAAAAAAATTAATTTACAAGAGTTGGGATCTTTCATTTCGGAATTTCTTGATATTTTGGAGTTGCTAGCTATTCATATTCTTCTCTACTATGACAGAGAAACAGAAGAAAATTATGGTCAAATGAAGCGTGGAAATAGAATGATAGAGTTCTATTTGATCGATCCCGTTGTCTAGGAGAGCAGATCCTCTATCATCAACCCTTACTCTGTCTTAGCCTGTCCAGGATCCAAAAACGACAGTGTTTTGGTAAAAAAACATATTGTTTTTCTCTTTCTTTCATTGTCTTTTGAATGCTTTACTTTCACACGGCCTTGGTAATAATTACAGAAGTCAAATCTCTCTCGCAATCTCATCGTCTGTCCTCACCACCTCCGGCGAACAGATCTATTTTGGGTTTCCCGGCGAGCACTCCTATCAAACTGATAGCACGTCTAAATGCGGTAAAAACACTCTCATCACCCACGGTGTCTTAGGCGTCCCAATTTATTCTTTTTTGCTTTGATGTCAAACCGCTGCACCAACTCAGATTTCATTCACAACCAATCAAAATAAATCCTTTCATCTTCTGAACCTTCTAAAGCTCCACTACTTCGGATTTCACAACCAATCAAGGACTCAACTATAAGTTTTAGTGGCGAGATTTGCAGTGTTTGTGTACTTCGGATCCAAAACTCATCTGTGTGATTTCGATTATAAAAATCAGATCTGATTCTTCCTCTTCTGAATTTGGAGGGGGAGGGTTTTTACACTGTTCTGATTGTGTGAAATCATATCTGACTCTTTCTGTTTCACTATTCCGATTGTGTAAAGATTAATCCTACTATGAAGAAGAATATTATTGGAGTTTTAGTCAGTTTATTTCCGGCCACTTAGATGCCAATAGCACATATACGAGGAGGAAGTTGGATTTGGACTTTGATACAAAATACAAGAGAGAGACGAAACGATCGTGATGCATTTTTTTTAAAACGACGTCGTATCATTCATTGGACAGGGGTGCACAGGGATAGCCTGGACAGACGATCTGCTTCTCCGCTGTCTACTTCTCTCCCAAGTTCCGACTGTACAACAAGCTAGCATCACATGGGGGGGAATATCTTCTGCATTGTTCCCTCTTAATTCTTGCGCTGTCTAAAGCTCCCAAAACGAATGTACTACGTTTGTTTAATTAATATTTTAGCTAAGTGAAAATAAATATGAGAAAAATAATTTCATAAACGAAACAAATACTGTATTCCGTTGAAGATTGGCCGTGTTGAACGCGCTTTGGCATTCAAACTTATGCTCGAACGTATAAATTAATTAATGTACAGATCAGGTGTCGTGTCCTAAAATTATTTTAAAAGCTGCCCCATAGTTGACTTCCACATCAGGTAGCTTGAGTTCTGGAACCACGAGATTCATGTTCTTGCAACATCGATCCATATCCATAGCTTCAAATTATTGTACAAGTAAGGGGGAAATCTTATAATAACGAAATTTTCCTCTCTACTATTTGATTAATCAAAGATCGCTGCCATGTTTCGATCTTTCGGTTATTTAGATGAACAAAATTAATAAAAAAAATTCAGCGGCGAAATGCACAACGTAAATGATTCGCGCCTAATTAACAACAACATAATGTTTCTTATTTCATCGCTACTAACATTTTTATTCGTCTCGATTAATAAGATGAATAAAAACACTACAAAAGAACTAAGATATTAATTTCATGATGAACGTCATAGCTTCCGTAACTAAGATTGGTTAATTAAGTTGGATAACAATATGCTGTCATGGACTCATGGTGTTGCTTATAATAATAATTATATATTAAGAAGGTAGCTAGCCAGACGTGGTTCTTGATAAGAATGTTCAACAAATGAATTATTTTATTTTATTTGTTTTCCAAAAATAATAAGATGATTGTTGGATCCTACACGTACACACTGTTCTTTGTTGAAAATGACCCTTTTGGCCTATTTGGTAGCTATATTTCACGTTCCTAAACGATATTGATCATATTTTTTTAACCTATTTTCGCTTGTAGTAAACTCTTCTTTTCTTATTTCTTTCCGAATAAATTTCCCTAACAATACAAATTATGTAACATCCTATATAAAATATATTGAACAATTGAAGAAAAAAAAACCAAATAACAAAGACCAATATTGTAATTTGTCACATATGGAAACTTGAAGGAAGCAGTACCCCAGTCCGTATCCAGTGCACCCAGATATACCGTATACCCCCACCAAACACACGCACTATACGCGCTCAACATTTTTCACCTTTACATTAAATGCACAAACAAAATTGTTTTCATCCATTTTACTGTTTCCATCCTCACGTACAAACATACACAATTATTGGTTATCCATAATTTATCCACAAGTTATAAATTAGTTATCCAGAAGGGGTAAACTGGTTATCCAGAAGGTGTAAATTGGTTATCCACAAGTTGTAAACTGGTTATCTACAAGGCGTAAACTGGTTATCCAGAAGGTGTAAACTGGTTTATCCACAAGTTGTAAATTGGTTATCCACAAGTTGTAAACTGGTTATCCAGAGGTAAAGAAGCAAACGACATGTTAATTGGGGGGCTTCGCCCCTATGATAAACTAAACGACTCCCGCGGCTACCGGAATTGCAGGTCATCAACCTGCCCCGGCTGCACCGCCCCGCTGAACACGCCAATTTAGCTAAGGTAGTCCTTTTTTCGTGTGTGTGTAAGGAGAGTGTGTTATTGCGTTAAGCGGGGACACAAATTACTTGTATAAATCCCCCCGTGATAAACTAAACAACCCGGCTGCGCCGCCCCCCCTGCCGAACACGGCAAATTTCATAAATAGTATTTAATTGAATAAGGGGTATTTTGCCAAATGATAGAGAACAAAAAATGAATGAGGGGCAGTTTGCCAAATGATGGAAATAAGGTACGTTCAATTGTGTATAACTAATTATCCATATTGTCAATACTGGTTATCCAACTGTGTATAACTAATTATCCATATTGCCAACACTAGTTATCCACATTGTGAACACTGGTTGTCCATAGTGTGTAGCTGGTTATCCATAGTGTGCTCATTGGTTATTCAGCTATGTTTAACTAATTATCCATAGTGTGCAGACTGGTTATCCATATTGTGTAGCTGGTTATCCATAGTGAGCTCACGCTATTCTAAAAGAGTAAAATACAAGCACAGGGAGGTACACAGTGCCCCGGGTGTACCAGATAATTTGCCCAGTACCCTTCAAAGTTTAAATAAAATTTAGAAACCACAAATGTCAAAAACCTAAACTCCAAAATATCAAGAGATACAAGAAGATTGCTTCGAGTTGGATCTGCATATATAATAATGTGAAAAGGAACACGGATTTTTTTGATTGACTGTTCCAAATGCAATAATTTGTACATAATCAACCATATTAGAAATGTAAACCGCCTTAAACAAATCATTATCAGTCAAGAGAGTTACAAACTTCCAACCTAAAATTTTTAATTACTGAAATGCCATTTTCCTTGGGCTACATTTTCTTTTTTTGCGCTTTCACTATCTTGAACCCATTTAATTTGTTTATCTACCTAAAACTATTCGAACTTATATACTTCTACCCAAAATGTCATAGGTTTCGTATATAATTATTAATGTGGAGCGTATTTATGTGATATCATCGATGAAAATATATATATATATATATATATATATATATATATATATATAAAACAAATATTTGGCTGTTGCTTATATCATCTCTCATCATGTTTTTTATGCGTGCAAAAATGTTGTGCAACTTGCAAGACATGGGGTCCCAAAAACAAAATATATAGCTGTTATTGTGGCCGAATCAACACTCAAAATAATTATATATTCCGTACAGCAATGCATAGAGAACACACAATTTTTTTATTTTTTATTTTTCAAAGTATTCACACTTTCTTACTTGTCGATTAATTAACAAGATAAAACATCAAATCCATCCTCCCCTTCCTAAAGGCATTATTGATCGATCTGAAAAAAAACTCCCATTTTCAAGGTCTCTCTTTTTTCACAGCTTCTTCAAGCTCAGAAGGAAAAAAAATGGAGACCTTGACTTTTTTCATCGGCATCATAGGTACTCTACCTATTATTTTCCGACCGTTTTCTCATCAGGGTTTTACGTCTTCGAGTAGTTCCGAAGTCAACAACGTTAAATGATGATGATTTATGATCTGAAAGATGTTTTTATCTCTTTTTCTCCTTTTTTTTTTGTTTGTTTGTTTGCAGGAAACATCATTTCCGTTCTCATGTTTCTTTCTCCAGTGTAAGTACTTATACTGAAACATGAGCATCTGTGTAGTATTAATTCGAAGTGATATTCAAAACCGAGTTGAGAATTTCTTTTTGGTTTGATTTCGATTTTCCCGATGTTCAGGAAAACATTCATTAGGATTGTGAAGAACAAATCAACGGAAGAGTTTGAGAGCCTTCCTTACATTTGTACACTTCTGAATTCTTCACTGTGGACTTACTACGGAATCATTAAGCCCGGAAGTTACCTCGTTTCCACGGTTAATGGTTTCGGTGTAATCGTCGAAATCATCTACGTTTCTTTGTTTCTCACTTACGCTCCTCCAAAATTGAAGGTAAAAGATAATTCTTTTCTCTCTCTCTTTTTTTTTTATACTGTTTTTACAGTATATATTTAAGTAGCTATAGAGCAAATAAATATATTATGAACTTAAAAATTAATTAATGTCAAACAGAAAAAAATCGGTGTACTTGCTGGAATATTGGATGTGGGGTTTTTCGTGGCGGCGATTTCGGTGGCGCAATTCGTGCTGACCGGAGATGCGAGGATTGATGTTATAGGGTTCATGTGTTCAGGGTTAAACATCGTTATGTATGGTTCTCCTCTTGCTGCCATGGTAAGACCGACCCTGCCCCGTTCTTCCTTACTACTTATTACTATCTACCTAGCGTAATATTTGTCTCTTTTGATTTATATTTATTTGGTTGACATTTTATGATATAGTAACTATAATCGTTTTCAAGAAATGAAGTACTCCTTCTGTCCTAAAATTATTGTCCAGTTTGTATTTTTATTTTTAGTTCAAATTGTACTAAAATTGAATCTCAAACTGGACATATAATTATGGGACGGAAAAGTATTTGTTTTGTTTTTATTTATTTTGAAGTGTAGTTCTCAACACTGCAATATCCGGTTTTGATACAGTAGTGCTAACTACTTACGGATCTTAAAATTTGGGATCCGTTTTCTGTTACCATCCTTTAACCAAACAAATTTTCAGTCTAGGTGTGGTAGAGAATACTATTATTAGATATTTAAGCAATTGACCAATTATGAATGCGAAAATGAATTAAAAAAATGTGTATAAAAAGGAAGGAATAAAGAGGTTAAGGGTGGTTGAGTAAACACAATCAATATCTTAATTAGACTAAGCATTAAGTACATATTAAGAAATTAATAAAAAGTAGTCTAAACACACATATATTAGAGAAATATTAGAAGTGATTAAAGTGTCATGAACATGTACAAATGAGGGCTAAGGCTTAAACTACCACAAACGACACACAGAAGAAAGAAAAAATAGATAATCATTAAGACAGATCAAAGACAAAGTAAAAGATCCAAAAGCAATTATTAACTTTTTAATTATAAAAAAATGTTTTAACTTCTCTCTAAAAGTAGCCCTCTCTCTCTCTCTCTCTCTCCATTTTTTCCAAGAAAAGATAGGAAAGATATGGTTTTTATTGGTTGTTTTACCTAATCATTTTATTCAGTCTTTCTATCTACTTTCTTGCTTGATTAGCGTGGATGGTTAATTAAGTATTACAACTTGTGGTTTTATTCAATTAGTTAATTCGTCCTTTCGTTTTGGCATATATGCACTTTATGCATATGAATTTCTGAAGTTTTGACTGTTAGAGTCAAAGCAAAAATGTATTGGATGGTTCGGAAATAAGCTCCGATCAAAGACACTATTTGGCAGGTTCTTCCCCCCTTTTACAAAAACATTTAACAAAAAATTGACCTGACAAATGACAATGACAAGTGCAGTCCAGAAAGACTGATGAAGGCAAATATTAATTAATATTATGAGAGGTCGCTATTTCAAATTATTCTTTAACCATTGCGAGGGTGCATTTGTGAATCAGCTTCTTCCAACAAGTTAGTAAGTTTGTGTATTATTAGGCTTAAAATGTCAACAGGGGAGGAAATTTATGTATTACGTGAATATGCTGTATTTTTATTCGTCCCTAATTCAATTTGTCGACTTAAAGTTTTGGGAGTAATGGGGTATTAATAAAACCCCACAAATATAACTAGTTAAAGAAGGATATTTTTTTCCGCCTTCTTCTTATTTATTTATTTTTGTAGGACCGAATGTAAAATTGTAAACCCCATTATATTTGGACGGCTGTAACGTTTTATTTCACCTGTGAAATTAATGTTCTGTTTTAGAGACTACTAGTACTATGATTTATAATATTGGGATAGCACATTGATGTGGACTGTTGTTGCTCCTTTGATTTTCTAATTAATCGTTTAACATAGCATATAATTATTGTTAATACTTCCTTTTGGTTTTCAATTGTAGAAAACAGTGGTGACTACACAAAGCGTGGAGTACATGCCATTCCTTCTCTCGTTTTTCCTTTTCTTGAATGGTGGAGTTTGGACTTTTTATGCGGTCCTCCAACAAGATTGGTATCTTTTGGTACGTCCCCTTTCTCTATTCTTATCAAATTTTATTATCGCCATCCCAAAATAGACTAAATAATTTTTAATAATTTTTTCTGTTGTATTAGAATAGTTCTCATTTTACATATATCATACGACATGAATTTGCGTACTATAGCTAATCATTCCAAAGATTAATTTTGGGATCAGTATAGGGCATTTTTTATCAAAAGAAAAGTTAAAAAAAAAAAGAAGGAATACTAACCATTCAAAAGGATCCCATCGAGCTGGTAGCTTAGGTTAGATTACTGGTGGATGTATGTCATTTTGGCCCCCGGAGTGTACTCAGAAGAACCCAACAAAAAGGTTACAATCAACTTTTGTAATTAGTTAAATTATGTATTTTCATAGTCAGAATTAGAACACGAAATATAATTAGAATAAAATGTAACTCATTTTGTTGATGCATCTTAATCTAACAAACTGTAAATATCAACGTACGACAAAGGAAGTCAGTGCATTCTTTCTTTCTTCAAAAATTTTTAGCCTTAACATAAACAAAGCAATGGATTAAATTAAGTCTTAATGGACTTTACACTTGTGGTGTGGTTACTGATATAAACATGTGCACCTCAAACAACTGTTAGAAGCATCACCGACAATACTGCCAACAAGCATGCAATTAAAACTTTGGTTAAATTTTAATATACGGGACTCCAAGTTCGGAGAGAATACTGTTTTAGTTCACCGCACGAAACTCTTTGGTTTTGGAACAAATGAAGTAAGAAGTTAATGTGATGTGAGATTTAATTAGGCACAACTACCATCTCGTCTTATATAGACGTCTTCTTCTCATATGTATGATGATTAAGAGAGGTCCCTAATTATGTGTCTTTCCCCAATCTTATATGAAAGTGACAAATTTTATTTTCGGTAAGATATGTGGTAGCGAGGGCCGGGCTAGTGACCAAATGTGTGGCTAATTAAACTTTCCAAATTAATTATACCACGTGACGATTTCTTTTTCTCTTTTGGAACCACCCCCAAAAAAAAAAAGAAAAGAAAAGAAACGTAATTAACTATGATGATTACCTGTTAACTAGACAAGCACCATAACTTGATTCTCGTAGTACAATGGCATAGGAACTGAAAGCTAGCTTAGCCATAGAGGCCAGAGAAAAGATTCTCTACGAGAAGATATTTCATAAATTACTTCTTTTTTTTTCAAAAATGATTCTCTTGATTATTATTGTATTAAAAATATTAACATGAAAATGATAATCATTTTGACGGAAGTAATATCACATAAGTTGATATATTTGATAATATAATTACAACTATTATAAAAGGTAATGTACAAGCTGATACAATTACTAAGGCAATTGGACTTAACATCCATGTTTCCAGACATCTTGAAACAATTTTTAAAATGTTGTTCTGAAATTTATTAATTTATTTTCTTTACATTTTTTTTTTATAAAATGCATAATTATGGAGAGATCATCAAGTGTCCATTTTGAGCATTTAAAAACAAAATTTGGGAGAGCCCTCATCCTAATTAACTTGTTTGAGGTCATGATCAATCTAATCACCCACCCAACGAGCCAAACAGAAACATGACCTTTGATATCTCTCAATGGCCATATGTATTCATGCCCGTCTAATTATTGTTGAGACTTGAGATCTGTATAGCTCCTTCCCCGCTTAATTTTTATGTTCACAGAAAAAAACAAATCAATACTTCCAATTATTGTTATCTTGAATGTTAGTCAAGTAGATTTTATACTTAAAGTTACATTTGTTGAACCGAATAACAAATATGATAAACTTAATATTTTTATTTTGAGACCAATAGAGGAAAATTAAAACAACCATCTTTCTACGCGATTCAACATTATACTCTAAACATTTTTTTTTTTTTTTTGTCGAGGTTGATGCATTTATTGTGATGAATAATGAGTTATTTTATCAAACACGCTCTTCTAATTAAAATTGCTAACAAATTGCGGTTCCAGAAAAATCTGGATTTAGATGTGAGTAACTAAATGCAAAATTTTTGTGGAAATGCAGGTACCAAACGGGATGGGATTTCTACTTGGAATAGCTCAAGTGGCACTCTATGCAATTTATAGAGACAGAAAACCAAAACCAATAGACATAGAGGAAGCATCACACCGTCAACACCTACTTCCCACCTCTTCCGCCTAATTGGTTAAGGCTATAATAATCCCCAAGTCCTCAAGCTTCTACCAAATCATATACACCAAAGGGCATATAAATGTTAGTATAAATTAGAAGAGAAAATAATGCTTCTTTTTTTTTTGGTTTTTTTTTTAAATTTATTATTTTTGGTTTTTTGTAAGTAAAATTTCTGTAGCAAAATTAGAGTTTTATTTAATTTATGTGGTAGAATATAGTCTAATAGAGTTGAGTGTTTCATTTAGACAACACAATTTAATGAATTTATTCTGATCTGACACCCGAAAAGATTTTATTCATATCTCAAACTTAATAATCTATTTATAATTGAACTTAAAGACTGTAACAAGGCATGTGTATTGCATAATTCAAAAGAGCAAAAATGAGGAGCTCAATTGGGCTTTATGGGGGAGGCTGGACTGAAGTTTGGTTGGGATGGTCGCTGCATTTTCAGTCAATCTAATCCAATTTCAAACCCACCTTGATCAAAACATTGACAGCCCATGTAAATTTTGTCATGTAGCAGAGGGCCACAAGTGTGATAGTATACAAAATCATCAAATAGATAAAATTATACTCGTGTAATTAAAAAAAAAAAAAACATTTAGCAAATGTTTATACAAAAAAAAAAAGAAGAAAAAAAAGAAGCAAATAATCTTGATACCTATATGTATTTTGGATCTCTTTAACACAGGTTTCGAATCTCCACAACAGAAAAAAACAAAAAATGCTGGGAGATTGTCCCTTCAAAGGGAGGGATTTTCGTGGCTGCATTTTATCTTTTGGACAAAATACCATGGAACCATGATGCTCTCAAATGTACTCATTTGCTTACCATTCTATTAAAATAAGTGGAAATATGAACAAACATGAAGCAAATATGCTCTTCTCTGGACCATTTCATTGAAGGTGGACGGTAAAATACTAAAAAATGGAATCAATCTTTTGCCCCTTTGGCAGCTCCTACTTCTTTATCTTTTCTCATTTGGATTCCTTTCAATATCGTCTTCACTCATCATGTCAACTGAGTTCACTGGTGGAGTCTTGGTTTTGTAGATGAAGTAGACTATCAGTTGAAGTGAGCCTAACACTATTCCCACCGCATTTGGGACCTAAAACCAATATTTCGCATACTAACCATCAAGAAATGAACAACTTTTGAGTGTTATATCAATCCTTTTTTTCGATTGATTTTATTTTTATAAGAAAAAGAAACAGTTCTTGAAATAAGAGTCGTGTTTAATGAATTGTTTCGAAACATACAATTATTTCATAACAAACAAAGTTTGGTAAAAAAATAAAAATTGTCCAAATTTTACTTAACTTACCAGGACATAGTAGTCCATCACAAGCAACGCAAAAGTAAGCCAAACGGAGGCATTAACAAAAAGAGACAGGGAGAGGAAAAATGGCATATATTCAACACTCATTGTTCGTATAACTGTTCTCTGCCAAAAATCAAGGAAAAAGTTTATCATACTGAGAAGTAAAAAAATATTGCTTCATTATAGATGTATAATCTGTATGTGGTAAATCAATTAAAGCAATGAGTTTTAAATCAACAAGCTCTCAAAAATAAATAAATAACTAACTAGTGTTATATTTAATCAAAAGGACAGTTAAGTCGATCACAAACCGAAATCAATTGTTCACTCTAAGTCATGCACATTTACACTTAAACGGCGCCATTATATCTGGTTAAATCGACAGGTTTAATTGGCACGCTAACTATCTTTTAGATTAAAATAAATAAATAAATAAATAAATAGATACAGACATGGCAAGTTTCAATAAAATTTTGTGTAACAATGTATGACAATTTCTTTTTGCTTACCACGATGGATAAAGGAGCTCCATACATTGCTATGGTAAATGTTGCACATAGAACTCCTACTAAGGTGCGCCTTGATTCTCCATGAAATGCAACCAAAGTAATAACCATAACAGTCCCCAAGAAAACCAAATCTAATATCACAAGTCCTATATATTTCATCTGCAATGTTAGAGTCATGCAACCTAATTTTAATCAAACCATGGATTTATTTTAGTTTTTTTCAGAAGAAGGAAAAAAAACGTGGAGCTTGCCCACAAGATATCAGTTTGTCTAGGTGAAAAAGAAACCAAATGGGTTAAATATAGTAACAATTGATTATTACCTTTCTGGTTTTGGAGGCATAAAATAGATACAAAACTAAGTAGACGAGTTGAGAGGTGACACCAACGCTATTAACAGTGACTATAAGAATACCATCATCAGGGTCAAGAAGTCCGTAGAATGTCCATAAACTTGTGCTCAAAAGGGTTGATACGTAGGGCAGTCCATCATAGTTGTCCGAAGACTTTGTTTTCACCACTTCCCTAAATGTCCCTCTGAACATATTCGAACCCATATTCATTTTGTGGTTAATTTAAGTCATTCATCCATTAAAAATGACCAAAAAAAAAAAACTAAAACATTTAGTCCTTCAGTCTAAAAATTAATATTTATCCTTTTTTATTGTATTGTTATAGTTCAACAGATATGATTCTTATTTTCAGACGAAAGGAATATTTTTCCATTCTCAAATTAAGAAACGAATAATACTTACAGAGGAGAAGCGAAGGATAGTATAGAAACAATGTTTCCTGCAACCAAAAGAAATATCATTATTTGTAATTAATATTGAGAAAACTACCAAAAACTAGGCAAAAAGAGAAGAAAACTCAAGTCCATGATCAGCAACTGTCCCAAATGTACCTAGAATGCCAACGATGAAGTCAGGTTTCACCATGTTATAAAGAATTTAAACTGGGTATTTAAATTGGAAAGAAATTGAAAAAGAAAAAAAAACAGTGATATCTATATAATTAATTGAAGAAACTGATATGTATGAAGGAAGAGTACAAGTCGAATCGTCATCCGTTTTAGGGAGTTGTTTTTATAGGCTTCATTGATGCATCACAATTTTGATAATTTTATTCGAAATCTTGGAAGTTTTCCCATTCTTAACGTTCGCAATAGCATGTGAAGTTCATGCATTTTGGCTAATCTCTATATGTCGATGTTCTTTATTTCGACTTTTTTTTTTTTGTGTTGTACATTGGATACTATCTTCTGTTACATTTCTGTATTATACAATTTCTTTTTGTTATTAAAATGTCTCTTATACTTAATACTAATATAACAACAAAATAATAAGTGAAACCTAGCAAGTATTTGACACTATATAATACGTGTCAAATATTTAATTATATTATCAAGAAATGTAATATAATGATTTAGAAAATATATTTTGTCCGTTGAACACAAAAGATTCATTAATCATATAGGGGTATTGTTCCCACTTTTTGTCTGTAATAACAACAAAGCCATAGTAAGATTGAACAAAAAGTTAACCCCTACCAATTATGCTAATTGGAGAAATTCTCCCAATCGTTTGTATAGTGCTTTGCAAATTGACTAATTTGTCCAGAGTCAAGTTAAATGTGGTAATATCCATGTAGTTTGGAAGTCCTACGAAAACAAGTATTCGGGGCAAATTGGCAAATTCTGATGAAGTTACGATCAACTAAACCAAGTTAATATTTGAACTAGTAATTACTCCTAATTAGCTCGAAAACATGGACTAATCTTCATTCTTAAATTTAAACAGCATCGTATCTATAGTACTTAATTAAAGCAGCAAACAAAAAGGATATATGTCAGTACCACAATGAAAATTTTTCCGCCAAAAGTCATTTTCAGTACAAAATCATTTTTGACACGTGGCACTCTAATTAATCAGAAAAAAAATAGAATAGATAAATACATAAATCCCTTAATTATAGCTACATAAAAATATCTTAATTATAGGTATATACTAATCCTTTAAAACAACAATATTTAGTTGATAAAATCAAATACTAGGAAATCTCCTTAAATCAAGTGAAACACCAGTAATGTCTTTCCAATCCCCAATTTCAAAAAATCTCTTTCATTCCGCTCTCTCACATCCGGGCCTTTAAATCAATTACTTAAAATCTGATATCAATTATCAATCCATCTCTTTCTACAACAGAGAAATAATAAACTGTCATGAAAGAAATTTGATTTTTTAAGGATGATTTTTTTTTATTCTTTTGTTGTAGATATTGGTTTATGATTTATGTAAACCCGGGCATAAGTTAACTGTTATAAATTAAATGTTGTAAATCTGGGCATAGATTTATGTGTAATAGCTCACTTTCTGTACTTTCAATCGATTTTTTATTCTTCTAATTTTTATTTTTTTTTTTTAAAATGATTTGTATTTTTTATTTAATCAATTTAAAAATACAGGCGACACCCCGGGCATTCGCCCGGGGCAAGCATCTAGTATATACTTAAAACCCCAACTCCGAAACCTTTTGCTCAGTTGCTCACCTACTTTCAGAAAAAATGCATGATTCGGCAAAGGGTTGCTGCAGCTGCTCATCCTGCTTGTTCTTCCTTACTCCTCCTTGCGACCAAAAGGGTGTTGCCTTGGAAATGGACTTCCTTGCTCCTTGAAGCATTCACGAAGGTATTCACGATACGTGCGACTTAAGCCACCGGGGTACATCCGATAACGGACACAGCAACCAAGTCCACAGGGCTCATCCTTTCTCTGATTCCATTCTGATAGGTAGACATCTTTCCTGTCGTAAAACACCGCCTTTCTGTTGGCCTCCCCTTCTCCGTCCTGAAAAGGAAAAGGACTACCATGACGAGAGACCACATACTGGCCTAGAAATGTCTGCTGCCGCTTGCTGGAATCACCATCATCATCATCATCTTCACCGGAAGCTGTGAAGGTGATAGAAAACACAGAATAATCAGGGGTCCGGTTAAAGCCACATTCTGGACCAGGCGATCGTAATTGTATTTCTTCTGCTCATTTTGTTCATTGTAAAGTCGAATGCAATTCTCGCACATCTCATGGATCTCTGCCTTGATTGTGACCCCATCATCTTCTTTGAACTCATAAGGTCTGATTGTTTATTTGGAGGTCTTATCAGGGGACCAGGTGATGTCAAAACCCTGACAGAACAAAAGGAGGAACAAAACCCCCCAATCAATTAATTTCACAAAGCCTAATGATTTTAATCAAGAAGATGCATAATCAAAGGCCATTATGCGATCTTCTCGTGTGCTCTGATCCTATGGACGTTATTGTTTGTCTAGATGGGCTTGAAATCTTAGGTAAGCCAACCGAAGAGGAAAAGCGCGGTGGAAGCTACAATTTCTTTGTCCAGTTGATGGATGAAGCTAGAGGATTGGACAAGATCAAGGATTTGCAGAGCCATGAAAATGATGCAATCCGTACAAAAGCATTGAAGATATGGAACCCGTTATATCGTGAGGCACTAAGGGTATGGCATTTTTTTGAAGTGTTGGGAGACATGGTTAATCATGTTTGACGGTTCTGTAGTTTGGTCCTAATGTTTCAGTCATGTCGGAGTTTAGGGCCTCAACGTGTTTTGCCAGTTTTGCCAGTTTTGCCAGGGTGTTAGACCTCTAGGCATCGACGAGATGATGTTAGCATGATGTAGTAATTAATCTGTTGCTAGTGAAAGTATATTAGTAATAGACATAAGTTACTTTCTAACCATATTGTACAAGTATCATGTACTCAAAATCACTACTACTAGTATTTATCGGCAAGCTAACGTAACCGCTTTGAAGCTATCGATCACATTCTCTCTTGTTTCTTTGTTCATCAAGTCTACAGGACAATACTTACTGAATTCTCTGTTTTTCTATATTCTTTTTGTTTAGAAAGTGGATTATTTCTTGGGAGGTTCACTATATTCTTTTAGGCAATTCAATAACAGCATCATGTAAATCTAGTCTCATTCAGGCTCACTTTGAAAGTTATATAGGTCGTGTTAAATACACATTCCACTATATATTACCCCTGTCTCAAAATTATTATTCAGTTTATATTTTTTGTTTTAGTATAATTTGAACTAAAAATGAAAATCCAAATTGGACAATAATTTTGGGATGAAGGGAGTATGTAATTTATGTTAAAAACACATTCCGGAGATGCTTGTTTATTTAGTGACCAGGATCTGCTAACGCATTCATCTGATTTTATTTCTTTTATACACCGGTCTATAAGAATTTAAAGGTGGCAAAAAATTGGAATGTACTAGTATATGGAATAATGATAAATTTATTGTTTTTCAGTGCATGATTGACCTTGGGGTAAATGTATTATTTTCCATTATTTGCCAAACTTATTGATTCACGGAGAAAATGAAACCATCAAAGAAGAAGATTGCTGGATTTGGCAGCTCTCTACTGAAATGGACAAAGCAAATTTCTACACATATATGGAGGGAATTTTTATTTACTCCCTCTGTCCCATAATTATTGTCCAGTTTGAATTTTCATAGTTTAATTTGTTTTAGAAGTGAAAACCCAAACTGAACAATAATTTTGGGACGGAGGGAGTAAAAAGGAGGCAAGAGATCAAGAGATTAATACACTAAGCGAACAAGAGATTTTGACTAAAATTGTGGTTTGATAATGGCTATAACCCTTATAATAAGTCATTGGGTTATTTATACGATTACCATGTACTCTTTGCGTCACGGTCTTGACAAACACCATTGGATAATGATTTGATTAACAACTTCTTTCAGATATTATGTAGGGATGATCGTTAAACTTGATATTCTCAATTTTGTGTTATCGGTTGGAACTTATATGTGCGATGAGAAAGAAATTTGAACTAAATTCAAATTTGAGGATAAAACTATTACCAGTAAAGAATAATAGTTCTTGCAACAGATTTCAATTTTGATGTAACCGTGAAAATGTAAAATATTATTTGGTTTACGCGTTATAGAATTATTATTATGCCATTTGATTGTTGTAAATATGGATATTTTGAACATTTAAACTAGGCCATGTTGGTCTATATTTATTTATTTTCGAATATAATTTTCCTTTAAGTAATAATTGTTAAAAAATCTTTTTTTTTTTGGTTAAAAAATCTTCTTTTTTTTTTTTCTAAAAAAAATCTCCCATTAATGAAAAATTTTGAATTTCTTAAACATATATGGTGGATCCGTTATTAGCTTAATAACAACGCTGCCGTTTTGATGCATTATTAGGTTACCCAATTCAAGCACTCAAATTCTAATTGCGGCTTAAATTTAAAACCCTTGTGCCTTATTATTATTATTTTCCTTGGTCTCTCTCTCTCTCTCGGACTCAAAGCTTAAAAATGTTCAAGAAGTAAGATTCTTCTTTCCCTGCCTCGAATTTAAATTCGTGCTTTTAGTTGTACATTTGGATACCATATTGTACTTTCTTCTTGCTGTTTTCGATTCTGGGTTCCTGATTTGGATGCTTGATTCTTAGCCTCTGGGTTTGTTTTTGCAATCTGGGTTGTTTGTTGCTTGATAGTTGCTTAATAAAGAAACAGAAGACGAGTAGAATGGTGGTGTTGGATTCAGATACTCGTAGGTTTTGTTTTTTTGAATAAGTTGGTTTCTCGGGCAATACTTATGAACGGAGCTTTGCTGGATTAAGTGTGTAATACAGATATGGAGAATGGAAAAGCAGAAAAGTTGTAATTGTAGATTGGATTGTTAGTTTAATTTCGAACAGGAATCTTTGAGCGTTGGTTTTATTTATTTAGTTATTGATTTGGCTTTGAATTCCATTGCTACCCATATATGATTTGCTGAACGCTTCAATACTCAAATGTATCTGTAGTTTGTCTGATTCTGGAGCTCAGGTTGAGAGCTTCCATAATTCACTAAGCTACAACATTTCAGTGGTCGGTTCTAAATTTCCAATTAAGAGTCATTTACTGTTGGCTGTGAGCAATCTTCACGACTGTCAATCCTTTAGTTTACCTTCTACAGTAAATACAGTATAATTCAATAGGTATAGGGAGCGTAAGTGATACAGCATGAGTATTTATGTTATGATAGGCAAAGTTGGTGTGTGTTCTATTTAATCAATGCTTCACAAGTTCTCTTCTTGCGTAATATGTTTGAAGCCATTCTATTAGGTAGACTAAGTCTTTGCGATTCTGGCCAAGCACAGAGTCTCTGTTCTCGGGTAATTTTATTGCTACCCCATGGCAAGCATTCTTCCTTGTTTCTCCTCTATGTGGGCACTGTTAATATCATTTTAATTAAAGATTCTTTCAGATGGTTTCTTAAACTTGTACGATGTGCATAAAAAACACGATGATAGTATCATGAAACCGTTCATTTTAACTGTGGTAGTTTTTCTCGGGCACTGCTCGTACTATCAACCAATCAGTGAACATGTTTTCTGGTGTGAATGGTTGTGCATCTGTTTAAAAGTCCACTATCTGCTTGTCCTTCTATGGAGCTCTAGTGCAAGCATATTTGCACATTTAGATGATACGGTGACTATTTTGTGTTAGACATTTGGAAGAAGTTAAATCTGTCACTGTTGCTGTTATTACCCTCGCACACACCCTTTTCCTTTTCTGTGAAATTGCTAAACCTCCTATGTGTTTTTTATTTTATAATTGAATGTACATAGTTTCTAAGAAACTTGATTGTGCAGTTATAAGATGTATTTAAGTTCGTGATGTTTTTATCATCTTTTATCGTCGCTCTGTGACCTTTTGGGTGTATCAATTTATTAAACTAACTTTTTGTTTCTGTGAAACATCTAGGTTCACATCTGAAGAAGTTTCTGGCCAAAATCAAGTTAAGGCATCTGTGCAACGTAAAATTCGTCAAAGTATTGCTGAAGAGGTTTTCTTTATGATAATGCTCAGTCTCATTGCTTCACTTTAAGTGGGTTATTTTTTGGATTACTTTTCGTTTCATTTTCCCTTTTTCCCCTTTGGCAGTATCCAGGACTTGAACCGGTATTGGATGATTTGCTTCCAAAGAAATCACCTCTTATTGTTGCAAAATGGTTGGTTTTCTTTGCCTCCTCCATTCACAATTCTTTCTTTTAATTGTATCAATCAGTTCGTATTGTCAATCAAATTTTTATTCTTGTTTTCATGCTTCTGCTTCTTGTTAGCCCAAATCATCTGAATCTTGTCATTGTGAACAATACACCACTTTTTTTCAACATACGTGATGGGCCGTATATGCCAACCCTTCGCCTTCTTCATCAATGTAAGTTACTCATTATAATTTTATCTGAATTTGCTATGCTTTTATGCCATAATCTCCTTTGGGCTTATCGGTGGCAAATTATTGACATAGAAGAATTACTTCTAAGAGATAGAGATAGTGAGCATGTCTTCCAACTAACTTGTAACTCATAGACATGGCTACTCGGTGCTCTTGTTGAAATCAGGACTGGAGTAATCTGATAGTATTCTGAATTAAATGTTGACGGTTTCGCTGTGACATGATTATATGGATTTTAGTCGCAAGTGCTTGCTTTGGATAAATAAATCAGAACTGCCTTTTCTTTGGTCAATCTCCTTTTTTTTTTTGTTTTTGTTTTTTTGCTTGTCATAGAAATGTAATGAAGAGTATGACCCAAAACAAAAACTGAAGTGTTAGTACCTAATCCAATTCACCTGCAGCTCATGCACATCGATACGTTCTGATCTTGTTGGAATCAGGAGACATGATGATATAGATTCTAGTTGCAAGTGCTTGATTTGGCTAAACTAATTCAGAGCTGCTTTTCCTTTGTTCAATCTTTTCTACGTTTATGTTTGTTTTTTACTTGTCATAGAAATGTAATGAAAGTTACGATCCAAAACACAAACCGAAGTAGTACTACCTAATGGTAGAATACCAGATTGGAAACTCAGAATCAATATCTGTTGGAATAGTGGTTTTTTGTACAGTATCTGTTGGTATTCTGTTGTCTTCGCTAATTCAGTCTGCCGGAATGCTATCTATATAAGATAACCTACATAAAAATGGTGTAAAGTTGGGTGCGAGAGTCTGTCTAAGTTGTTAAGTGCAGCAATCCCCTGAATCTCTAATTCATAGAAATGTGTACAAATAAAGATACAGTTGGAAAAAGGGGACGTGAAGTTTAAGCAAGAGTATTATGATGTGGTTATTGTCCTTTAAAGCAAGACACTTTGGGTAGAATTGAAAGACTCCTTATCTGTATCAGAAAAGAAATCGAGGACTTGAAAATGTAGAACTGTTAGAGTAGGTTTGAATGATGACAATGAGGAAGTTTTGGCACAGTGAAGCAGCTTTTAGTAGTTTACTGATGAGAAACATTTCCTGTCCTGTTATCCTAGTTGGTGATGAATATTACTGTTCATTTCCTTCTATTTGTTAAGAAGGATTCTTAGCTTTTGAAAAAGTGGTCTTTGAACTTAAGACACCTTTACTTCTTTTTTTCTTGAGCAAACTTTAAACCTGAGTTTTGAATTTGAATTGGGTTACTTGGCTGTTGGGACATATAATAATCGCTCTTGCATGTATACTCTGTTTCAGATCCAAATATCATGAAAAAACTGCAAGTTGATAGAGGTGCAATTAAACATGTCCTGGCTGGTGCCAACATAATGTGTCCTGGGCTTACTTCTCCTGGAGGTGCTTTGGATGAGGAAGTGGGAGCCGAAGCTCCTGTGGTATGGATAATGGCTCTTTGTTTGCAGTTCCATTTGCATGACTAACTCTGAATTTAAAATAGTTTTTTCCTCTTTGGTTCCTCTGCAAAGATCATGTTTCCCCTGTGGTCATAACGTAGTTTGTGTCTTGGTAGTAATGTTTTGCTTATTGGCTTTGAATGTCAGGCTATAATGGCTGAAGGGAAGCAACATGCTCTTGCTATTGGTTTTACTAAAATGTCGGCGAAAGATATGTAAGTTTCAATTGGTTTTGACAAGTTTCTCTATCTTATTAGTCCTTTTTTTCTTCCCTCTCCCCGCTTCACTTAAGTAGCTTGCTCCAGGCTTCAGACGTAAAATTCTAGGTAGCTGTATTCATCAAAACTTTCTATTACTATAGTTTACTTATTTGAATCTACTCCCGAACTTTCCTTTTACCATTTCAGAAAGTCAATCAACAAAGGAATTGGTGTGGATAACATGCATTACCTTAATGATGGACTCTGGAAGGTACATTAGTTTGTTTCAATCATTTGCTTCTAGATATGTATTTCAACTATAGCCATTGTAAGCATCTAAAAAAGAGTTGTCAATGAATCAACTTTTCTTTTCGAAATGACAATATAGCATAATCTTTCCATACAGAGCCAATTCTAATGGGTCTATGCTTTGAACATTGTGTGTTCGCAGATGGAACACTTAGATTGAGCTTGCGCCGTGATTAAAAGAAGAACCATATCCGAGGCGTGTTAATTCTAGTTGTTGACAATGGCTACTTAACCTTTTCTACGATAGCTTCCCAGTTCTTTCGATGCTGGTGATAAAGCTGAAGTTTTTATCAAGTACTTGTTTCAATCCTTAGAATTGACACGATTATTTTATGAGTGTATAACAAGCGTGGAAAGCATTAGACATGAGGCACGGTGTTTTCACTATGAGTTCTGGTTCTGGATCCAAACAAGTGTCAATACAGTTTCAAATTTTGTTGAATGGTTTAGGCTGTTGATTTTGCACTTTGTGCTGATGTCGTTGCAGGATCTGAAAGTTAAAAAAGCCTTATAAGCAAAACTGTTTAAATGATAGTACTTATTTACTTTCGATGACATACTGCATTCATGGTAGATTGCATTTGTAAGCTATGCTTGTATGAGCTTGTATCTTTTTATTTTAGTTATATTAAGAAAAAGCTTTTTGAAATTCAGAACTAGTGGCTGAGAAGTGTTATTCGTGAAAAAAAAAAAAAAAGAAAGTGAATTTAGGAGTGGGTACTACAAGTTGGAAACAGAGATATCTTGAAAGAAAATTAGCTTCTGAACACAGTTGAGCCTACGATCAACAGCAACAAAATTATTAGAACTTTTTGAAGAACTCGTGGATGTGATCATTGATCTCTTGAGCCCTTTCCTGGTTGATGAAGTGACCAACTCCTTCAATGATCACGACAGGTTCCTCTAATAAGGGCACATCTCTTTTGAAACCGCCACCATGTACATATTCTTTTGTCCCTGGAGTTGTGTACACCATGTCCAGTGTTCCGACAATGAACTTCACCGGAACTTTCACCTGAGCTCCAGTCCATGCTGCTGTCAGCTCCCAGTTTCTGCACCAAAAGTCGTTGTTAGACTCGCACTTACAGCATACCAACCGAGTTAACAAACACACCTTCTTTGGGACCAAGAAACTCAGTGTTGGTAAATAGTAGGAAAACAAGACTTACAAATCCAAGGCGCGGTAGTAGTTCAATCCACCAGTGAAGCCCTTTTGGTCATATTTGCCAGCATAATACTTCAAGTCTTCTTCTGTGAACCAAGCTGGCATTTTGATTTCGGTTTCAGATGAAATTCCAAAAGGGTTTTCGTCAGGCAAACAAGGTGGCCCTGGTTTACGATCTGTGATGATCTTCTTTATCACCGCTGAACTTCCATGTTTTGCAATTTCACCCTCAATCACTCCTGGTTCCTGTAATATATCTCCACAAAATCACATACATGTTGTACTTAACACACACACACACACACACTTTACTACTATATGATCATTTATTCTTCGAAAATTTTTCTGGCTCAACTGAAGCCTGCCAAACTATAATAAAGTCACTGTGCTTATAAAAGGATTTAATGCGGGCATAGCAGAAAATAATCCAAATTCCCAGAAGTTAGGTAAGAATTTATGGTGCAAAAGATGAAAATGAGAATTCCTCATAAATAGCTCTGAATTTTTTTTGAGGAAGTTGCATGCATGACCTTTATGTCCCAGAAAGAACACATGTATAAGAACAGATCGCATTTTTTCTCTATTATTTTTTGGCTTAGTTCGGCCTTGCTTTCTTCTTAAGAATACTCTTGTTTCAACTGATTCGGATCAGCAACATTTTCAAATTAAATCTATATCGATCCTTTCCATTAATAATGTACAAGCTTCTTTCTTTCCTTTTTATTATTATTATTTTTTGTTTGTAAAAACAATGTCTCCATTCAATTTGAGATCGAATGTAATTGTAAAAAAATTTAAAACACGGTCGAATAAATGACTCAGTTACAGATCCAAAAAATATAATAATTTTATTATCCATTGAGTTGGATGATTATAACGGTAAAGTATTTTTCTGTAATTATTTTCTCTATCTCAAAATGATTATTCAGTGTATATTTTTGTTTCTAGTACTGAGTGAAACTTTTATATACATTAGAAGTAAAAATCAGTGTTGTTAAACTCGGCTCGGACCGGCCGGTTGAATCGGGAACTGAATCCCAGGCCGAGCCGAGTAAGTGATCAAACCGATAGTTTAGTATTCGGTCAAAACCGGCCAAGATTTCGGTTAAACTGAGAATCGGTCAAACCTGAGTCTAACCGAGTTTTGACTTTTTGCCTACTTTTTATTTTTTTTTTAAATTTTTTTTGCACAACTCTTGGGGATGAATATTCAACTTTTGACCCTCAATTAGATTTTTTTATGTTATTAATGATCTATAATTTTTATATTTGTATGATTTAAACCCATAATTTTAAATGTTTAAGTCTAAATTTTTAATATAGTCATTCATCTCACATTTCAAATGTCAAATTTAGTAATAATCATTATTTTGAACCAAGATAAAATATTATAAACAAAATAAAAATTAAGAAATATTCATCACTTTAAACTAAAGTTGAAAATTTATTACCAAATGCATTGATTAAACATTCAATGTAATTTTTTTAATGATAAAAGTCAATTATGTAGCAAATATATTAATTTTTTTATTATAATAAAAGTTAATTTAAACTAATAGTCTAGCTAAAGTCATAATTTTGCTTCATAAAAATCCATTTGAAAGTTATGAAGCGCTAATTTGACTCTAAGAATTAAAAAATATATGTAGAATTTATAAAATTTTATTTAAAAATATAATTATTAATTTTTAATATTCATTACATTATTATAACATCATCTGTGTCGATTTCTGAATCGCCCCGAGTCGACCCCCAAGTCGCTCGATCCCTGGCCACTACCGACTTGAGCTCTTGTCCGAGCCTGACAACACTGGTAAAATCCTAATTGAACAAACATTTCGAAGGAAATACTATAACTTTACACAATGCTCATCACCAGATGAAGCATATGACTGAGTCACGAGTACAGATTATCTTTGTAGCAATGAAGGAATGACATTACCAATAATACTATAGACACACACAGCCCGTAGGGTACCCTCTATCTGTCCAACAACCATCCCATCCAACCACCTCACCAGCCAAATCTGGCGAAGCCAGTCCCAAATCCGGGCCCCAATGAAAGAACTGTGTAATTACTACAACACAAATTGGACGTTGAAGTAGGTTTTTCCTTTCTTAAAAAAGAGTAGAGGTTCATTAACAGTTCGCAAACTTTACAAAAACATGGAGTTATGGACATTCATGGGACAAAAACACAAATGAGTACATTCTCCTTTCTTGTAGTTGGGACCTATATAGTTGAGGTAACAGTTTCATAATTCATAACTCTAGGCTTGTCCTAATTTTGTGAATGATATTGTACTCCATTATCATTAAAAAGAAAAAGGAAAAAAAAGAAAGACTAATACTACTACAGAGTACATATATTATCATTTCAGTAGTCATTTCCCCAAGTTTCAATCTAGTAAAATGGCATTAATAAAAGATATGATTATCATCATTGTCTTCTTCTCATATTTGCAGGGTATTCGCAATATGCAATAGTGACTAGTGACTAATACCTCCTTTTCTTACTATATAAGTTTCTAATTTAACCTTGTATTATTAATGATTTTAGTTGAAATAGTTTTTTGGTTTTTTTTTTTGAGTGAAATTTTTGGTTAGTAAAATGAAGGAGAAATACTGGATAAAGAAAATATATTTGATACTTCTTGAAAATGTAAACAATCTTATATAAATAAAGGAATTAAAAAAAAATCATGTTCAAAACCTCTAATAAAAATACTATTGAACCGGAAGCAAGGCTTTATCCTGTATGCGTTACCGGCCTTAACCTTCTACGGATCATGTTCATATTTATGCCGGAGTATAGTATTTCATATCCATTAGTCAAAATTTAAATTTCCAAAAAACAGTTTTTAGAAACAGAATTATTACTACTTAAAAACACTATTTCTGACCCAAAAAAATACGAATTCATATTGAGTTTGGTGATTTGTAATCAATGTGTGAATTAATTTTTTGAGACTGAGGGAAGTAATTAACTTCTGACCATAATTCCAATAATTAAAAAAAAAATTAACATCTCCCCTCTAATTCACTAGAAAATCAAAAGTCAAAAATCACCTTAGCTAATCATTAGAATCTTTGTTAAGGTTTCAAAGAAGAAGAAAGAAAAGAGAAGGGAAAAAAACCTGGAATCGGCACATGTAATAATTCTTTCCAAAGAAAGCCCTTAAGCTGGGAACCGGCTTCATCTTCGGATGCCTTGGCCGGAAGGGAACCGTCAAAGAGACGAAAGCCTTAACCAAATCCGGCCGGAACAAGCACAAGTACCACCCGATCATGGCCCCCCAGTCATGAGCCACCAACAACACTTGATTCACTCCTAGGGATTCAATGAGGCCCACCAGATCACCGACGACGTGGTGGCAGGTGTAGCTGGCGACGGAATCCGGCGCGTCGGAGTCGCCAAATCCGCGGAGGTCCGGCGCCACGGCGCGGTAGCCGAGGGAAGCAAAAGCAGTGAGCTGGTGACGCCACGTGTACCAGAGCTCCGGGAAGCCGTGGAGGAAGAGGATTACTGGTTGGCCTGATTGGCCCTTTTCGGCTACGTGCATGTTTATCCCGTTCACTTCCACCATCTTGTGCTCTATTCCCTCCATTTTCTCTTTTTTTTTTTTATAAATTTTTAATTTTGTTCTTCTTTTTCCTCGGTGGAGTATGAAGAATTGAGGAAAAGGATGAAGATAGAAAGTTAGGAAGAAGCTTTTAAAGAAGCTAAGAACCAAAATGTACTTTGAAATTAATGGACATCACAGTGGAGTTATTGCCCTATACTACAATTAATGTCACCTGCATGCATGTAATGGGGTGTTGTTTTGTTTTTCTTTCTATCGAAAATTAAAAAAATAAAATAAAATAAAATTGTTGAAAATATACTACTACAAGTAGTGTCTTAAAAATATGTGAATATTTAAAATCAATAGTATAAAAACAAATAATCTATTCATTCTCAACAAAATAATTCACTTTTTTTTTCACAAAATAATCTCAAAAGAATTATTGCTTGGATGTCACTGCAGTATAATAAGGTTGACGAATCTTTATGCTTCTTTTGTTCCAAAATTATTGTCCACTTTCAGATTTCACTTTTAGTACAATTTGAATTAGAAATGAAAACTCAAACTGGACAATAATTATGGGACGGAGGGAGTAATAAGAATCCGATGAACACCAAGACTCGTTTTAGTTGGGGATGGAGTAAATGCATTCATCTGTAGGAGTCTTGGTAACTCAAACTTCGAAGTTGAAATTAAAGATCCATTGGAAATTATTGGACGGTTCCGGTTCCGGATATTATCAAGTTTCACTATTCTGAGTTTCTGACCAATTCAGAATTTTTTTTTAAATTTTTTTTTCACAAGATAGAACAGAAAAAAAAAAAAAATTCCACATGGTTACAGGGTTTATTTTCAACCCTACAAATAAAATAAAAGAAATAAAAAAAATTAGGGTTAATAAAGACAATTGATTTTGTTCTACTTTTCTTTTGTATCTACATTAACCATACACAAGTAATGCCTTCCCATGCACAGAGAGTCATATTGCCTGATAATTGATTAATATAATTGTACAGTAAAGAAATTATTTGGAACATAATCGAAAGCGCACTAATTTTGTACCTCCAATATAAATTAAAGCAAGCATTCAAGTATGTGCTCCCTAAGATTTATCCAAGAAGCGAGGGAGACAACATCCATAAATTCTTCTGTCCCAATATAATTCTCACATTCATGAAACGATGTGCTCCATCAATCTTATCTCTCTTCTTTCTTAAATATTTTTCTTTCTTATCGTCTTGGAAATAATGGCACTTAAAGAATAAGAAGAAATCTTCAATTAAAATAAAGAAAGCGAAATTCTTGATTGGGTAATTGGTAGAACTTTCTTTAAACATAGACTGGAGCTTAATAAACTTTGGAGTTTCGAGAAATGAACGCAAACATTTGGTTTAGCAGGAAAATCGCCATACTCAAGGCCTGATTTCACATTAATTTTTGTGTTTTTGGTTGAGTAATTTTGATTTGATAGTAAATTCTACACGGGTGATTGAAACATAATACTAATGACTAAAAGAAAGACTCAAGTATTGCTATAACTGAATAAATCACTTAGTAGTGCAATCTCTTGCTCCACAATAGTCATTAATATATAAAAATTATTGTAGCATTTTATTTATCGACGGTATTTTAGATATATAAGTTATCGTAAAGTATTTCTCTTTTTAGACATGTGGAGCGTCTACATCCGTGACCAGATTTGGATATCACTAATCACATCGATCGTTCAATAAAGATAGAGGGATATTTTTTTTTTTTTTTGCAGAGAATTTCTTAAATGAAATTTCCCTTTTTTAAACGATTTTTAATACTTCGTGTGTGGAACTTATATATAATATAATAATTAGTCATACTTCTTTTAACTTGTCCATATTTAAAATGATTTTCATATATGTTTCTTACCGTACAAAAAATAGCATAAAAATTTGGACTATTATATTCGAGGAGATGGAGTAGTAGAAGTTGAATTTTTTTTTCTTCTTTTAATGGCATTTTCTTAATGTTGGTTTTCCCATTGTCCTTCGAGTTATTGCGTTTTTGGTCCCTCTCCCTCCTTTCTTCTGGTAAAGTTTCAATACCGCTTTCTTCCCAACTGCTGTGACTCTAGAATTTGCTAAAACATTCAGCTCTAAGAACGTTCCAAGAATTTGCTACAAATATCAGACACCACCTTGGAAATGCACATTCGCCAGAATTAGAGATTATGATAGTCTTGTAGGCATGGTTAGCATCCAAACCGCATGGCCGGAACTTCTTCAGTTCCAAAATAACTAATCATCCTTTGATCATATTTAAATTAAGCAAAAAAATATATCCTTTGTCATGCCCACACCATCCCGTAATACTAAGAAATAAATCTTGTTAGATGGTTGATACTAATAAGGTATTTAGAGATAGAACCATCTTCTCCAAAAAAAGGGGGGAAGAAAAAAAAAAAGGTAGAATTATTGTTTTTTTTTTTTTTTAGTTTGAACATAGTGATTATTTTCCGATAGAGGAAGAGATATTCAACATGAGATGGAAGTAAATAGTATCGTACAATAGGGGCAAACCAACCCAGAAGATTACATACCTAAAGTAGCACCAGGAAGATCTCCCAAATCAATGATATCTCCAATTCTCCACATTGTCATTCACAATAATGGTAAAAATTTACGAATGCTAGTTAAAATTACAGCACAGATGCTAGATAGTCAAGCAAAACTACTGTTACAAATCATCTATCTCGACCTTGAAACTTCTTAGATCATTTTGAACAATAACAACTAACAGGTCCATTTATCAACACCTCAAGAATTTCAAGCAAATCATGATTCAAAAATCCACCTCAATCAATCGTAGCTTGCATTCAAAAAGTTCAGCAACTTGTTGCGATTACTTTCTGCCATTTTGTCCTCCTTTGACTTGTCAAGCTTCAACAAAATCTGAAGATTACAAATGTAAATTTACTGTTCAAGTGTCATCCTGACATAAAAGAATATGAAAACCAACTCTAGATGCATCATATATTCCAATTCTCCAATGGATTATGCTTCTATCTCAAAAGTTTCTAAACAGCTACTCTTGCTTATCTATTCAAGCGCATACAAGTACCAGGGTAAAATGTGACCAGGAATAGAAGCATCAGCCAGACACTGAAAGTATCAATATAGCACTTAAATCTAAGTTTAGGTACTAGTTTAAGGATACCTTTTTGCCAGAAACAGCACTTCGACGAGCACCATCATCTTTGTCTCGTCCCAGAAACTGCAAATGGTTGAGTAACACAAATTAACATCCACACAAAAATGAAGTTGACGAGCAAATTCCAAAGATAACATTATGGATGGAAGCAAAACCTTCGAAAGCTGCACAGGGCCACTACCCTCCTCTTGCTGCTTCTATATATAGCTCACATTGCCAACACAGACCATGAACAAGAGCAAACAACCAAATGTCCCATCCAGTCGTCATGCCACAGACCCCAGCTCCAATTTCGAAGAGCCAATCATTAACAGGCAGAAAAATATTATAAGTGACTTTCAACCAACAAAAGAATTAACCATGAAGCTAAAGTAATGAAATCAATACCGAATCTGGAAAATATATAGAGAACTTGGGAATCCCACCAGAGGACCACTTAATATAATGCTAAGAAGTAATGACCTACCTCTTTTACTTTGTGCTTAGGACGTTTATGCCGTTGGCTTTTTCTTTTCTCTTTATCCTTGCTCTGAAACACCATACACCATCCAAGTTTAGCAGAGGTATAAAGGCTATTACTGAATGGAAAGAAAAGAAGATAATCGAACAACAACCTTCCTAATTTTTCCATTCGGTTTGTGCCTTTTTGAGCGATTTGCTGCTTCATGCTCACTATCAGAGGAGCTGCAACAAATTGAAGTGTCCATGAAAAAGAGATTCCAAGTTCTTCTATCCACATTAGCATGAAGATAAGATGAACCAAAAATACATAACACCTCGACCGCGTTGCAATGGACAAATAATTTGACAATCCTCATTTATATATAAACTCTACATAATAGATGAAAGGAGCAACGATTCAATATGAAATCAACAGGGAAGGAATGTGGATTGCATCGGAAGAACCTTTGCCAAAGTACAGATCCCACTCATGAACTATAGCAGTTCTTGCCTCATAAATAAGCACAAAGCTAAGCCTTAAAACAATACAAAAAAGGCCCATTTATATGAGTTCAACTTGAATGGATATCAATGCCGAGGCAAACCCAAGTGTCTTGTCTGATAAGAAAATATTAAACTTCATCGGCACAACAGATTGTCCAACAAGACCTCTTTCAGTGCTTAAGAAGAAGCAGAATGCTACATAAGGGATCCATAGATCATATATGCTAAGAAATCCAGTTGAATTCACCACAGAAGGTCTTTAAATTCAATATCCATCACTGTTTCAAAAACCAAAAAGTGTAGTACACACAAAAACAAACAAACAAACAAACAAACAAAAAAGTGTTAAGACCAACTAAGATTAACCAAAGGGTCCCTTGTTAAAAATAATGGGAAAAAGAAGAGGAAAAAACCCTGTAAATTAAAGCGAATTCGATATGCAAAAGTAACACGGTGCTCTTTCCAAATTGCCTGACTATAACCCAATAGTTCAAATTTCCACCATCCTTTTCTTGGTTTAAAGATTCTAAATTTTCTTCTTATGCACAGAAGGAAATTAATAGCATTAGAAAGTGAGAGGGAGGAAACATTATATCATCATCTGGCAGCACTATACATATGCATTGTGTTAAGGTATTAAATTTCATACCCAGAAGGTCCTATCTGGCAAAAACTATATTGAAATGTTACTGCAATTTTTTGCTACAACTCTTACTCAAGTTAATGAGATCATTCACAACATATCTTTCAAGTTCCCCATAGTTTCAAGCGATTTCCAATATTTACTTTGAATAACAAGAGCTAGAATCTTTTTTTTTTTGTTGATTGGAAAATAAGCTTTAGAAAAAGCAATTACAATAAATGAAAAAATCGATTCGCAATAACCAAGAAGAAGCTACATTAATCAGCTAAAAAAATCTAACCGTTGATAATCTGAGAACATATATATCCCTAATTGATAATCTGAGAACATATATATCCCTAATACGACAAATCATAGGTAACTATCTTTTAGGTCAGATGGTTACAGAATTCCAGATGAGATCAAGGGGAAAGAAAAAACATACTCAGCTCAAAACAATCAACATGACAAAATTTGAACAGAAGGTCTGCAGACAGAAGGCCGAGAAGTTGGGAACGACGAATGGACGAAGAATAATGAAAACCTGAAATCATCATCGGAAGAAGAATGTGAATATCGGTCGGAAGAGGAGTGCCGCCGGCGACGTCTCTTTTTCTCAGAGCGGTGGTGGCTTTTCTTGCTAACCTTTAGCTCGTCTCTGTCCTTGCGTTTATCTCCGCGTTTGCGGCGGTGTTGACGCCGACGGCGAGAAGAAGAATCCGATGAATACGCATCCGATGAAGAGGAGGTGGAGGAGGAGGTTGCGGAAGACGAAGAAGCCGCCATTTAGACGCCCAGAGCCGGTGGCGAAGTCGATCTACTTTCTACATTTGTGTAAAGAGGGATTTGGCTTCCCTTATATTACTGTTTACAGTTAATTGGAAATAGCCCCCTCTTCTATTTTTATTATTCAAAATAAACCCCTAAAGTCCGTATGGGTTACGTTTTTGTTTAAATTATTTGGAGTTCAATAGAACTATTTTGATGGGGAAATATTCCTTCGTAATGCTTCAAATTTCGATAGACTCGAGCTGAAATATCTTCTGAGTAGAAAGAAAGCAAATATGCAACATTGGGGCATAATTCATGATTTTGTTGTGAATAACTGGAAAGGAAGACAAATTATGCGGTAGATGATTTTGATTTGATGTTTAATTTTGTAATTTTGTTTACAATTTTGCCACTATCTATTGCGTATATACATTACTAGGCAAATGTTTGGTTATCTCCCCCCAACCCCCCAAAAAAAAAAAGCAAAAGTATTCATCTTCATATTTCCGCTTAAATCCCTTTATTTAGTTGTGAGACGGAAGGAAACTAATAATAATTGTCTCATCCCAGCATACCTTTTTACATTCCCAATACAAAAAATACTTAAAAACACACACTAAAAAAACAAAACAAACATACTAATTTCCGAATTTTTCCTTTCCATGGTGGATTGTCTCTTCCCTAAGCAAAATCATAGTACAAGATTCTTAGAAGACTTGTACTATAAGCTTCCGACTTTCATCTTTCATGGCTTGTTTGAAGAAATTAAAGGATTTGTTTGAGGGAGATTACGATGATTTGTGAATCTCTTGTCAAGACTGATTCTTTACCGAACAAATTCTACACATAACGAAAGCTTTTCACAATGGTGAACCAAAGAAATCTCAAGTTCTTTGTTAGAACAGGAATGGCATTTTTTTCTTCAAACTTTAACCTTGAACTGCTAAAGTTTGAACTTTGATCCTGCGTTGCCTAGCTAGTTATTTCAGGCTCACTGAATTGTTGTTAATCCTAATTATATGCTTTTATTTTCTGCATTCAGTTATCGATTCCGGTAAATGAAAAGAGTTATTCATGTACTACATCAGGTGAAACATTGCGAATACGAAAATTTCATTTTGACATCTAAGTGACTAAGATACACTGTAGTATAGAAGCTTTAATTTCTAATCAGGTTAAAATTTTTGAGAGCAATAGAAACAATCCTACTATTCTAGGTTGAACTACTATACACAATATATAACAATCATTAAAGCTGAGGGGGAAGAAAAAAAATCAGATGCAGAAGCTAATTAAAAGTGTCTTCAAATTCAAGATATTCACACTTTTGATCCATTCCTTCAAATTGTATCAGCAATGTGTCAAGAATCCCACTTCACCCGCAAACTTTTTCCTTGCATCAAATGGTACATGGGACTATATTTAAAAGAAAATGATATGACAATTAAAGACGAAGAACTATTTTTGCCCATCACCAAAGTTTTCCGGAGAACCATGAAAACATCGAAGATGAAGTCGATTTCGGTGGTGTGTTCGGGGTGGGTCCTAATCCCAAGGATGTCCGCGGCGATTGTGCTCCTGCCGGGGGCGTTATAACAGGGACGGAGTCAGGAGATTCATTGCCGGAAATGTTGCCGGCGATAGACATCGAGCCGGAATTCGATACAGGATCTAGAGTGGCTCCGGTCGGGGGTGTTAACAGAGAAACGGTAGAATTAGTATCAGGGGATTCAGGGCCGGCGATATTGGTGGAATTAGACTTTGTTCCGTTAGTAGAATCAGCAATGGGAGTGAGTTTATATGATGCCTTTTCCTTGGGACTTCCCAAATCCTTAATTTCTTCCGGTGCGACCACAGAGTATTTGATCTTTGGATCTTCCTTTGGTGGTGGGAAGATGAATCCAGGGCTATAAGGAACCCCTGTTGCCGGAATCCACGAATCTCCCTCGATAAACTTCGCGGCGAGAAAACGCTCGACACGGGTTACCGGAAGTTCCTTCACACCTTGCCATTGAACACGGAGGTTCTTGTTTGATGCAGGTCCTCTGTTGTTGAATTCAGCGTAGAACAGAGTATCAAGAGCGAAAGTTCCGCTCCAGGGCAACCATCCATCAGGATGAATCAAATCATCGATGTAGGATTCGACGATGATGGTTCTTGAGAATTCTTTCCAGGGACGTCCAAGGTATGATTTCAGCTGGAATCTGTAAGGGAAGTATTCAGGATCAGCCACAACGGTGCAGTTCTGCAGGGTAAATCCCGTCGGCTGGTGAACGTCTTTCCTGCCTTGCGCCGTGACGATGCATTGTTGATTGTCTAAAGGCTTCCTGACCACCATCGTGCAGTTCTGGAACACGGCGGCGCTGTCGCCAAAGATGAAATCGATGGTTCCCGAGATCTGGCAGTCCCGGTAGAATTGGCGGTAGGTGTGCGCGTAAAGGGTGTCTTGGTATCCATCCATATGACAATTGTGGAAAATTACTTTGTCAGCTCCAACTCTGAGAGCCACCGCTTGATGCTTATTCGCACCAGCGGAATTCTCAAACCCGATATCCTTTGCAATGAAGAAGTCTCCAAGCACAGCTGCATCAAAGTTTTACATTCCTCGAAATGTTTAAACAAGCCCGAAATCTCATTATTCCTTTCATCCCAAAACAATTTGCCTGATTCTGAACTATTTTAGTTAAATAGTTCAAAATCAGGACTATTATTTTGAGACAAATTAAAGAACTTATGATGGAAAAAGAAAAAAAAAAGGTGTGGGGGAAATTATTTCATACCAACAGTAGCTGAGTGATAAGTTGGAGTTCCATCAACAAAATTTAATTTTCCAGTAATCCTTGTCTTGGTTGGACCATCACCAATGACCATCAAATGCATGTGGCTCTTCTCAAATGTTACTTTCTCCTCATAGATACCTTCTTTGATGTACAGCACAAAAGTTTTGTTGCTCTTTTTGGGGATATCCTTAAGAGCCTCGTTGATAGTACGATATTTTCCACTTCCATCCTTGGCAACAACGAGATCAGGTTTGATGGTGCTGGCACTTCCCTGGATGAGTTTGCGCCTTTGCCAGTCAAACCAGGAAGGAAACTCAGCACCAAGGCCTAAGAACTCGTCGGAAAGAAGGCGCCGGCTCGTGATCGACGGCAAGTCCAAAGTAGATACTATTGAGGAGATATCATTTATCATAGCAAGGCCATTGCTCGACAATTCCATGCTGGTGTTCAGAGCTTTCCTCATTTTCTCCCCTGCTTCTCCGGGAACGTCTTCGAAACCGTCTAAACAGGTTTCCTGGTACGTGATTGCGCCACTGAGCCAGGTTTGGATGTCATCCAGCATGTCATCAAGGTTGTTGATATCGAAACTGTCGAACCTGTTGAAAGATTTCTCGAGGTCCTCCACGGCGTGCTCAGCCAGCTCGCGGCAGTTGTCCAGGGCGATTTTCGTCCGGGGATCTTTCTCCAGCGCCTGGAGGAGGGTCGAATTCGCGGCCGCCTGTTTGAGGTGATTCGCCGTCGCCTTGAACGCGGCGATCATGAGCTCCTTGGGATCCGCGGAATCGACGCTTTTCAGGCTGTTGATGCAAGTGTCTTTGTAATCGGTCGGAGAACAAATGGCCTGGACAGCTTTCTGGGATTCGGTCAGTTCTTGTTGGCGATTGTAATTGTCTGTGCTTGCGTTTCGGGTGCCGACGGTGATGGCGACAACCATCGCCACCAGGATGAGGGTTGAGACACCAAGTATGGCATATTTTTTCCTAGTTTCTCCACCAGCCATTTTTGGCAATCAATGAACAATCAATTGCCAATTTGGCTCTCTATTCTTTTGTTTTTGTTTATTTGTTTATGGAGAAGGGCCTGAAGAGCTAACTTGACCCTCTCCAGACAAGTTTTAGACACGCTTACTATTGGCCCTGGAGAATTATTAGGAAAATAGTTCTTATAAGAACAAAAAACGTATTGTGGAGATTTTTAGTAGTTATTTCTGTTGCAAAATTTGAGGCTAGGAGAGAAATAAGTAAACCAATGTTGTCATTTTGGAGTTGGTTTTTTTTAGTACTAATGTATGTGAATTAATTATAATTGCTATTAACTTGGGGTTGTTTTCTTTGGCTTATAAAGTGGAACTGGAACCTTACAATGTCAAGGGGCGGACGTAAATACATAACACGATAAGGACACACAAATAAACAAATCATCACATGATTATCTTTAGAGAATTCTCTAAGATAAGAAATGACAGAACACCTTAGAGTACGTCGCTCTGTCCTAAAATTATTGTCCAGTTTGATATTTCACTTTTAGTACTATTTGAACCAAAAATGAAAGTCCAAATTGGACAATAATTTCAGGACGGACGGAATACAATAATAATTAAAAATGAAAAACAGCCACAATGTACATCTGTTTTATAAAACTAATTTACCGTTCCATACTGTTCTAATCATAAGGAATAAATTTCAATTAAGCCTTATAATTGGGACCAGAGGAAGTATCATGTATTGTATATTTTGTTTGTTCAGCGTCTTATTTTAAGAAATCACAAGTAGACTAGAAATGAAGTCATCAGCCATTCCTTGCAATTGTAGTGAGCAATTGATTAAAGAATTAAAATGAAAGTAACCAACCTTAGTTCTGTGGTTAGACACATTTATTCATCAAATCAAAACACATATAGCATTACAATTGAAAACAACCATATCAAGGGATCTCTGTGGATCACCAAGAAACATATGTAAGTAGAATAAAAACTGCAACACAATTATGGATAATACAATAAACCGCCAATATAAGGAACACCTGTGGAAGGCAACCAGTAATCACCTGATGTGAAGTTGGAGACAGTGAAATTTAGAACATCAGATCCATCTTTTATCATATGATATCCAGGCCAGGTAACCCCCTGTTGGAAGTATTCGATCCAAGACCCGTATTATGATACTCGGCGTAGTACAAAGTATCCAGCGACTGATTTCCCGACCAAGGTGACCAACCCGCCGGATTAATCAGGCTATCCATAAACGACTCCATATAAACCGTCGTCGAATAATTCTTCCAGGGCCGTCCCAGATACGTCTGTGTCGTGCCATTGCTCGACGCCAGGTCACTCGCGGCCTTGACGTTACAATCGTGTATAGAAGTGCCGGTGTTCCGGTCGATGTCGGTTTTGCCCTGTGCAGTGATTGTATTATATTGGCCTGTAAGAGGAAGTCTTGAGTAAATGTTCCACAGTTGCAAGACGACGGCCGCGTTTCCGAATATGTAATCTATGGTGCCGTAAATGTCACATCCCCTCTAGAATTGTCTCATTGAATGAGTGCATAACGTGTCCTGATGACCTTCGAAACTGCAGTTGTAAAACGCGGAAAGATCCGCGCCGTTGCGAAGCGCCACGGCTTTGTATTTTGCTGGCCCTGCCGTGTTACGAACCGTGAAATTGATTCCGACAAACCCTTGTCCAACAACAGCTGCCAAAAATTGCAAAACACGACATTAATTAATTCAAATGTTTGAGCTGCTTCCACTCTATATTTTACAGTTTGACTTGTACCCATGAAACAACAAGTGGGAAAAAAAAATGAAGGCTCATTCTTAACTATTTAATTTTTTTGGTTATATTTAATAAATCTTAATGTTTAATGGAAGCTAACATGACTTTCCAGTTTCCATGGAGCATGAAACCTGGAAGAAAGAATATAGAAAGTAAAAGTGGTGATCAACCTGATCTGACCTGAACTCAATTCAAATTTTTTTTTTCTCTTAATACGATTAATCTTTCAGATCTGATCGATAAACCTACGCCAGATCTTTAAGGAATCAGTTGCTCTTTATATACATTCTAGGTGACATGAGTTGACTTTCCTTAATGAAAAAAATACTTAAATTAAGAAACGAGAAAGTTTCTTTTTTTTTTTTTTTTGGTAGTAACGAAATGGAGGCCAAAAGCCTAAATCGTATAAGCGATTATAATTCGGGGATAATAAACTTCCATTTGGGCAGCAGGACACTAATATAATTTGAGAACGTACCAAAGATATTTACCCGATTTAAAAAAAGGAGAACAAAATCAAAGTTACTCTAATTGCCAAATGTGGCGGAGTTGAAGGTAGTCTCTCCATCAGCCACGCTATGATTACCGGTGATAATAGTCCGATTAATTCCATCACCAACCATCATCAAATATTTCTGGTAGCTAGCAAGGTTGACTTACTCTTCATAAACCCCGGCAACTATGCGAATCAAATAGTATCCTTGTCCAGGTTTTGTGTTATTTGGTGCAGCAGAAATTGCATCACTAATTGTAGTGTAATTTCCACTTCCATCTGGATTCACCAAAACCGTTTTGTTTATCACAACACCACCACCAACTTGCAGCAGCTTTCTTCGATGAATCGATGAAAAACCCTGAAATGTTTCTCCAAGAGACCTGGATTTTGCATTGGGATCAGGGCTCCATCCATTCTTGATGAATACAAGAGATATGCTAATGAAATCCATTGATCACTCTGTTGATCAAGTGGCTGCATGCATGGCAGCTGAAAAGTCTTCACAGCAGCACGCAGCATAAGCATACAGTTGTTGCCGGAATCAGTCAGAGGACAAAATGGAGCTGTTGACTGAAATGTTTGATCCTCCTTGACCTTCTTGACAGCTCAGCAAGGACCAGATGAGCTGGAAATACTAGGAAGAGCTGGAAATACTTGGAGGTTACATATTTTAGTAATACTTGGAGGTTACACAAATAAACTTGTATATATATATATATATATATATATATATATATATAGTGAATCTAGTAGCTTCGGATTAAGATTCACAGAATACACTTCTACTGCGTGTTCTGGGCAGTTAGAAAGCTGTAATCCCTCCATTGTATTTCTAATTTTAAATCATTTTTTCACAGCTGTTAATGAAATCAGTTCGATTCTCCATCTTGTTCTTCATTTGTTTATGATTTCTGCTTGAATTTCTTTATATGCTACAGAACATGGTTCCGTTAGTGAGTGAAGGTGAAAGGTCATTTGTAATGGAGGAAGATGAGTCGGTGCATACGAGTCCGTCTAGGCAAGTTTGTTTGTTGGTTATGGTAGCACTGAGTTGTGTTTCCAAATCTTCATATTGTGAGCTTTGGAGGGTAATTTTGTTTCTGAGAGTTTGAACAACATCTAATAGGATTTCGACGTTTATGGTGATGAGGGATTGGCAATCTTCAAGAGCAAAAGTTAAGGTTTGGGAATATGAAGAATCATGCCCTCCCGGACTAGTTAAGTAACGGTTGATTTGGTTCAGTAACGTTGTTGATGTTGCCAAGGATTTCTGAATGAAAAACCTAGCATAATGTTGTGTGTTGTTTGATTTGATTTGAGGTTCTTGAGATCGACAGAAATCTGGATAAGAAGTTATGTTACATAGGGAATCTGCTAGATGGAAATGAATGGATGAAGACACAGAGAAATAAAATGCAAGAACTGATAATTGTACTTCTAGTTGACATTGCTTTGGGATATTAGCTTAAGAAGGGGATGCTTTTATAGATTTTTGAAGATAGATTGAAATTGCAAATTAATCTCACTTCAGGACAAATGAGGATTGATGGTATTAATTTGAGAGCGATATGAGCCGACTTCGATTACCTAACCAGAAAAGGTTTATCTCTGTAGGTCAACTTGGTTAATTTCCCTGATATGATGCTGACTTTTGAAAGCTGGCACACTGCCATGACCAAGTGGAATTCATTTCTTCAATCTTGATCTTCCTAGATTTTCGTTTAGTAAAATTGTTGTATTCGCGTATGGTTTTTTTATGTAATTTTTTTTTTCTTGAGTTTGCTTCATGAATTGAAAAGGACTGCATGCATGTGTTAATAAATTAATTAAATTCATTTGTACAAAAAGAAATAACATAAATTGATGAATCAGAAGTGACAAGGCATTTGGCAATATATGTGTAGCTGACATTTTCAGCCATCAAATTTGTAAGAAAAGAAATTAATGGAGTAATATTGAAACTTGGCAAACATCTTGGAAAGTTTGGTAGCATGTGTTATTTGGTAATTATAAAATTAAATTAAATTCCGGCTGTCCTTATATTTTGAATCTTAAAACAAATCAAATTAAATTTATATTCGTTATGTTCCAGAAAATAAAATACTCCATATAATTTTTATAATTTGATCCCACAACTCATTATACCATTTTTTTTCGGACAGAAAGAGTATTTTAATTAACGTTTTAAAATAAATCCCGCGTGCTTTGCACGGAGTAGGGCTCTAGGGGCTATACTTATATGTTTACGTGATATAATTGTATAAAGTCGGAAGAAGGATCGGCTAATTTGGACCGGTACAATTATCCTACATACAATTCAATTAATTTGCCTGTATCAGTTTAAAAATTAAAATGGCATAGTTATTTCTGTGAAGTATTCCAAAAAGACGATGATATACATTTCATTTTGCGAGAAGCATCGTGCATATATAGCACAAAATCTGAACTTCATAATTTTTCACTTAGCCGGGTATTCTGTTAATGCTATTTTGGTAGCGAGAGATCATCTAGATGGCTCGTCCTAGACTCCCCACCAATGGGGGAGCCATAAAATCAACAGAGGGGGTGTAAAATTTAGAAAAGACTACTAATAATTAAGCTAGGAAATTAATGTAAGGGATACAAAAAATTATATAATACGTATATAATTTTTTATAAAAATTTAAGATATCTCTATTAATTAAAAAAATTGAACAAGTGTGATTGCCCTCCTTCGTCCCCGTAGCTCCGACTCCCAATAATACAAGAGAGTAAGAATCTTTTAAATCATTTTAGCATTAATTTGTTTTTATCAAGTCTTTTTGGATAATAGTGCAAGCGTGTGACTCATGAAATTATTCAGCATGCAAAATCTTGTACGGGGAAAAACACCTTTTGACATTGTCTCCAACGTGATTATCAATTATCATTTAATTATGACTGATTCTAGTATAACTTATAAAGTCGATATTCTTCTGTTCTAAAAAAAAAAACCGTAATCAGTAGTGAGTTATGAGATTTGTACTAATAAAAATTTTAAAGTGTCGGATTGTTGAACCAAGTATAACCAGAAATAGTAGATCCCCGCGTCCTGCTATTTTTTATTTTTATTTTTTGAGAAAGGTAATTTATAGATTAAGACTGAAATCAGTGAGATCCAGATGAAAACTAATCCAGGGGAGACGACCAATATGCGTCTCTCGACTTACAAGATTTAGCATATTCTTCCTCTCCATGAAAGCAAAAAATTTATTACAAATTAACATGAAAAGATTTCATGGATAATACAATAAACCACCAACATAAGGAACTTCAGTAGACGGTAACCAATTGTCTCCCGATATGAAATTGGACACCGTAACGTTAAGAACATCAGATCCATTAGTAATGATATGATAACCCGGCCAGGTAACCCGACTAGAAGTATTCGATCCAGGACCCGTATTATTATACTCGGCATAATATAACGTATCCAGCGACTGATTCCCTGACCAAGGCGCCCAACCCGCGGGATTAATCAGGCTATCCAGGAACGATTCCATGACGATGGTCGTGGAATACGTCTTCCACGGCCGCCCGAGATACGTTTGTGTGGTGCCGTTGCTCGACGCCAGGTCGTCGGCGGCCTTAATGTTACAGTCGTGTATGGACGTGCCGGCGTTTTGGTTAATGTCGACTTTGCCCTGCGCCGTGACGGTGTTGAATTGGCCAGGAAGCGGAAGCCTTGAGTAAATGTTACAATGTTGTAAAACCACGGCCGCATTACCGAATATGTAATCTACGGTTCCGTAAACGTCGCATTCCCGGTAGAATTGCCTCTTTGAATGTGTGTATAGTGTGTCTTGGTAGCCTTCGAAACTGCAGAGGTAAAATACGGAGAGGTCGGCGTCGTTTCGAAGGGCTACGGCTTGGTGTTTTGCTGCTCCCGCTGTGTTTCGGATTGTGAAATTCACCCCTATAAATCCCTGTGCATTCACAGCTGCCACACAAAAAAAAAAGGGAAAAGAAAAAAAAAAGGGTTATTAACTTAAACATTTTGATTCGATTTCATTCATTATATGATGTGTCACCTTATATATCTACATCCATATTTTTTAGTTGTAAGTTTTTGGTCCTTATTTTGCGAATCTGAGAAAATTAATTCCTCCGTGTTGATTTACACAGTAGTTTTAGGTGTGAAACTTTTTGTTCAACAATGTCAGGTTATAGGAGTTGACTTCTCTAACTATGAAACCATTGTGTTTGACTAATGAGTTCTCGTTCCTAAGAGTTTAATTTACACTTTTTATGTTACAAAATTATTATCCCTTTAAATTTTTACTTTTAATATAATCTCTTTTACCCTATTAAAGCAGAAAACAGGATGCTGATGTGGCAATTTCTTATTAAACTGTTTTGGTTCCAAATCCACCATATTGCATAAACCATTCTGCCACGTGTCACCCCCTTTTAAAATCAAAAAATATATTTACAATATTAACGAAGAGATCAGATGGTCATGTTCCTTCAAATTTTGAATTTGACAGTGAATGAAATTTTCCTTCTCCACTTATTTAGGACTTTTGAAAAAATTAATTTTCGGTCAATTAATTATCTTCATCAAAAACTAAATTCTTTCCTAATTAGTTTTGGTTATTTATATATCAATTTATTAGGTAGGAGGACGCCCGGGGCAAGCATCTAGTTTAAATTAAAACAAAAGACTTAAACTGCAGAATTATTTCGGGAAAGAGGGACACATGAACCATGTAGCCCGCAGGATGTTTGGTGGGACCGCTTAATTAGAGCAATAATAATACGGATTACAATTCTATTTATGAGACAAGACACATAGTCTAAATTTATGTTACACATAGGACTAGAAAAATTAAATAAACGTGAATACATTACTCTAAACATACTATCTTAATTTACAAAATATATAATATTGTCAGATCACTTTTGCTTCAACACTTTTAAACATATATATATATATATATATATATGATGTTTATCATTTCTACTTGTCCAAAATGATTGTTTAAACGGTTATTTTTGGTACAATTACTGGATAATAATTGTAGAATTGAGGAAGTATATTATCAATGGCAGCACAGAATATATACTCCAGCAATAAAAGTAAGATAAAAAGAAAAGTTAAAGAATGTTACTTGGTCACGTACCAAATGTGGCAGAATCGAAGGTTGTCCATCCATCATCGACGCTGTGATTTCCGGTGATAATGGTCTTGTTTATACCGTCACCGACGATCATCAAATACTTCTGGTAACTAGGAATGTTGATGTATTCCTCATAAACTCCGGCGGCAACCTGAATCCTGTAGTATCCTTGGCTTGATTTTGTAATATTGGGCGCAGCTGCAATGGCGGCGTTAATGGTAGTGAAATTTCCGCTTCCATCAGGGTTCACGGTCACGTTCTTGTTAACATTCACGCCAGTAAGTTGCAGTAACTTCCTCCGATGATGAATCGACGAAAAAGGCCGAAATAATTCCGCAAGAGACCTAGATCTTTTAGGAGGGACCCAGCCTTTCTTGAAGAAAGCAAGAGACATACTACAAAGCATGGTTCCGTTATTGAGTGAAGGCAAAATTTCATTCGCAACTGATGAACCGGCCGTTTCAAGGCCGTCGAGACAAGTTTGTTTGTAGGTTATGGTTGTACTAAGAAGTGTCTCAAAATCTTCATATTGTGAGGTTTGAAGGGTATTTGAGTTTTGGACAGTTTGAGCAACATTGGAGAGCATTTCTACGTTTGAAGAGAGGAGTGTTTGGCAATCTCGAAGGGCAAGTATTAAGGTTTTGGACGATGATGAACGACCCGAATTTAGGTAACCATTGATGGAGTTAAGTAAGGATGTTGAAGTTGACAAGGCTTTTTGTATTGAATAACGACCGTAACCTTGGACGTTGGTTGGTTTGTTTTGAGGTTCTTGAGATCGACAAAAATTTGGATGAGGAGTCATGTCACAATATGAAGATGGAGATGAAGAAGCTGCATGAATATAAGATGGAAATGAATGCAAACAAAGACACAAAATGAGAGTAGCAATCGACATTATTGCTCTCATTTTGGCTTTAATTTAGAAAGAGATGATGAAATGAGAGTGAATTGTATACTGAAAACTACTGAACTTTGTGTTGGGAATTTATATAAGTTGAAGGTCGATTGGCTCGGGAGTTTTGATTAAGAGCCAAATACTGTTGGGCTCTTTACAGAAATAAAATAAGGTCAACTTGGAGTTTGGTGAACATGGTGGTGACTTTTGGATGACACAATGGCATATGCGGCAAGGGGGATTTATGCATTGTTTTCATATGAAATGGATCTGAGTTTATAAATCTAACTCGTTTTCTCCCTAATAAATGCAAGTTGGTTGCACGTAATTTGGTCTTTGATTTGAGTTTCATTTGCTTGTATTGACTTCTGGGGTTGAAATAAATAATGCCCATTGGGAATAAGTTATATGTTTCGTAAAATTATCAGAAGTCAATTCGCAAGATTGAACTTGACATTTCAGCAACTAATAGGACACAACTAATTAAAAAAATAATAATAATCACACGGATGATGCAGCATGGATCGATGTAGGAAGGAGGAAGGTAACGTTTCAAGACTCATAGAACATAGACAGCCAATTATGCAGGTTTAGTCGTCTCTTATTGGAGGAATCTTCATTTAACTACCAAATTAATTGAATTGAACAAATATACTCCCTGTATCCCAATATATTTGTCCCAATGTTCTTGTTACGCATCATTTTTTATATATTATGCACCTCGTATTTGAATTTGTTACTCCAATTACACTACTTTGAATCTGAATAAAATAGGTTTTTTTTTTTCGAAAAATAAAACTCTTCATATACTACTGTGGTGTGCCGACATTCGAGCTTGAATTTAAGTCACAATTAATCCTTTTTCTTTTTACAATAGTTTGGTACATCAAAGACGACAAATCGACAATGAGATACTTTATAAGTTTATCAAACATCTAGAGGGAAGTACTGTTTGAAATTTATATGTCCCTGGATCAATTTGCAACTTTTTCTTTTCCCCTTTTGTAACGTGTAATATGAATGTAACTAATCTAAGAGATCGAGTAATGTGGTTCACTGGTCGAAAAACATTCGAGTTTTACCAAGTCAATGGCTCAAATAAAAATCTGTTAAAGGTTGTTCATAAACATAAATATCCATTGTCGAAATTAAATAAAATCCTTTTCCCATAAAAAGGTCAAACAACGAGATTTGAAAGGATATATGGGTCCTTTACCCGTGTTCTGTTTATTCATTTGCAGTGAGGATGCATTTATAGTTATAGCTTACGGCATGCACGTAGGATTGGATGATTATGGTCAGTGGAAGGGATGAGCTAAGGAAACTGGGAGTGCAAATTTGTCCAAAATTAATTAAACTAATGATTATATAGGGAACCGACTATAACAACGAGTCAAGAATTTACCCAGCTCAAAACTGGATTAGTCTGGCAATAATTTGAGACATCCTGCGACCGTAATTGACAAAAAATAATAATAATAATAATAATAATAAATGAAAGTCTCATTGTAGAAGTATTATAGGTAATATTGACATGTTTTGAACTGTTACTATTATTGAGATTGAGTTATTGGACTTAGGATTAGTTTGGAATACATGCAATCGTCAAGCTATCCCGGAGGTAACTAATCATTAAGCCATTAATTTGCATCTTTTATTGTAATTTTTTTTTAGAAGAAAAATTTCATTCATACGTTGGAAATCGTTCAACTGTATTTGACAATACAAAGAAACAGTCTAAAACACAACGTACAATAGATTACTATCATCATATTGTTGTGTTTACCATGCATAAAAATACACAGATATGTTCAAAATAAGACTGGACAAATTACGTACCGAGATTCATATCCGATTAAGGATATATATGTATATATATATATATCACTAATTATCATATGAAAAATCTAAATTACAAATATAATAAATAGATTTATAACGACTGATTCTAGTTGAAGAGTGAACAACGAGCCCCGGGGCATCACCAACCAAATCACGAACATAACGACCGATTCTTGTTGAAGAGTGAACAACGAGCTCACAAGCATCACCAATGACATCACGAACACTGCAAACAACATACCCTACCCTCAACCAATAGATCACCCGAATAATCTATTGAAGGAACTTTTGAGGTTTATCCTCTTTATTAAAATAATAGAAAAAAAAACAAGAATATGACTGTTATGAAATATTTGATTTGATTTGATTGAATGTCCACAATTAATATGTATTATTCTATTTACAATCAAGGAGATATGATTATGTAATATTTAGCATTGATTATAGGTGATTCATTTTCTACTGTTTGATCCCCTACTTCTTATATAAATAGGGAGCTCATTCATGCTTCAAAATAGATCTCAATACAAGTCTCTCATCTCTCTCTACTCTCTTGTCTTCTCTCTCTTATTATTAGTTTCATATTAGTAGTTTAGTATTAATTTTATAACACGTTATCAACACGAAATTTTAGCTGAAGAACTTTATAATACCACTGCTAAAGTTGGTGTGTATTAATACTGAAAGCATGAACTATTTAGTTAAATATTTAGGTTTGTAAATTTTCAGAGATTTGTTTCTTTCCGACTCCGAGTAATAACAATTTTTTTTTTTCTGGGTTGTCGAATTATAATGCTTTGTGCGGTTGTTATGCTTATTACCAGTTTGAGTATTTAGGTACTGTTAACATTACCTCGTTGTTTTTTTTAGCATCGTATCATCCATTCTTGCATTGTTTCTATTTTCTTTTACATAGATTTGGTTGAAAAAAAATTAATTGGTCAAAGCAAATTTATTATCTTTGTCTTTAGTTGTTTAATTAAACAAATTTGGGCAAATTTATTGTTTAGTTGTCTCGAACCCTGCGATACTTGATGTTGGCCGAATTGTGCTTTGGCTTTTAGTTTTGTTTTATTTGTTTTAATTTTGGATGACCTTTTCTCGGCAATTTATTGAGTGTATCCGGAAGCATCATACTCCCCTTCCTATTTTTTGCACTATTAGTCTTTATTGTATTTTTTTTTTCAATCTTCCTATAATTTGTAAGTTTATTCCCTGTTTTTTTTTCTCTCTTTTAAAAAATATTTCTAATCTTCAAACGAGCACATCTCTCAATCCGTGAAAAATTAGATAATATTTTACGTATGAACTTTATTGTATTCGTCGAGATCTATCTTGTTATATGGAATATTTTTTTCGAACTTAAAAATGATAAAATTCTAATGGACACGAATAAGGTGGATATCCAGTTTAAGAAGATAGATAACCAACTCATTTTAAATAGGTTATCCATTGTGTTCATACTGTTTATCTAACCAGTTTGAACTGGTTATCCGTTTTGTTTGTACTACTTATCCATTTGGTTTGTATGCCTATCCAACTTGTTTGTAATGGATATCCCACTTGTTTGTACTTGATATCCATTTGGTTTGTACTGGATATCCAACTTGTTTGTACTGGATATCCATCTATTTGGTTTGTATGTCTATATAGTTTAGACTAATTAACTTCTCCAGTTGCCTACATCATGCGAAGATTTGACTCTGCCAGTTGAAACAATCAAAGGAATGAGAGGAGGGCGGCGTGGGAAGGGGGAAGGGGGAGTGGCGGCGGGGGGAGAAAGAAAGGAGGGGAAGGGGGATGGCGGCGGGGCTATGGTAGATCTGAGGGAAGGAAGAAAGGTAGAAGGGAGGAAAGGAGGGTGGTTGGGGAAGGGGGAAGGGGGGGTGGCGTCGGGAGGAGAAAGAAAGGAGGGGAAGGGGGGTTGGTAAATCTGAAAAAAGAAAGAAGGGAGGAAAGGAGGGTATATATATTTAATAAATTAAATAATTCGGGTTAATTGGGTATTCCCGAAAAATATATATGAAAATCGACCTCGAACCGCCTAAGCTAATTGGTTAATCGGGCTGGGTCGAAATTTCACTGATTAAGCCAATTAGCCGATCCATTTTGGCCGAATTAATTTTGGGTCAGGCGGTTCGTCGGGTCTACCCGATTAATCAGCAGCCCTAATTTTAGCGAGTTAGTTATCCTAGTATCAGGGGGAGAAGTAAAACAGCCGATTCATAAATAAAATGGACATGATCATTATCTCATCAGATTCTCCATGATATGAACCAGAAGTTCAAGAGATAATATTTAAGACCAGATGTTTACTTGACCGAATGTATAAATATATCTTATATAAAAAGACTGTTAAAACTCAGAATTTGATAATGTGTCCCTGAAGGACTATCCACCACTATTTTTTAGCTAAATGTCCATTTGATGAGTGGTAGAACTATCGATTCCAATGATAAAAATCCTCGTAAATAATAAAATTTATATCTATCAATGGAAAATACGAGTGATTAGAATTCATAAGAATCTTATAATTTGAATAGTTTCCCACCATGATGTATCAACTTCCAGAAGAAGTATAAAAGCACTTGGGAACTTTAATGATTGTTGAGATCTCATTATTAAAGAAAGGTGGAATCGATCAGAAATAAAATATCGACATGAAATTTGCTTATGGTGCAACAAATAGTAAAATGAATGACAATGAGGATCATGAAGTGAAAGTCTGTTGTGGATACACACATTAAACTTATTGGCCATAATACATGGAAAGACACAATACACACCTAATGATATGTGTTGTACACACACTTTGGAGTGGCTTGAAGCAATAAGAGTTTTGAAAAGTAATACACCGACTAAATATTTTTGGGTGATTGTGCAAATGATTGATAAGCAACCGACTTATTGTACAAGTTTTTCCAAAGTCCCGATGTTAATAATAAAGAGATAAATTCTCTTGTGGTGGATGAAAAATATTTATTCTTCCGTTATTTGTTGAATCTGTCAGCAAATGAAGAAATAAAATGCGTCTAATGAATAAAGTGATCACTTGAAACAATACTTGATATTTGCCATTTGAAAATGGCCCTCATATGAAATCCCTGAAGGATTTAATAAGAGACATGGTTCCGATTCTCGAGAAATTAATATGAAAGACTTGCGCAAGTTATAGTGTCTTCATGTGTCTAGATATTTAGGTTCATATTTTTAAATATAATAGATTTGCTATATTTGTTTTTATCTAGATATATCATGTTTGTATGAAACATGATTTTCTATCTGGTTTTTATGATCATATTTGAATGATAGGATGATAAC